TTTCTCGTGGGAGAACTCTGCTTTACGTTTTGTTGCATTTCTGTGCACCGAAGGCACACTTTCACTGTTTATGTATTTCGTGCACGCGTATTACCTACTACTGTTCGATCAGCTTTCCTATCTATTTTTTGATTCTTCTATTTCGAGCAGAACGCGTTGGCATGCAACGATAACGGTTTTCACAGCCGAGCGACCGTGTGTAACGAAATCGCTAAAGAACATGGCCGTTAAATTACAACGTGACGCGGTCAAAGAGGTATCCCGCAGAAAATCTCTCCGTTTGTTTTACTCGCAGCCACGTAAAATTTATGATTCATTATAAATATATCGATCTACGACTCGTACGACTTCATACATTTAAACTTGAGTCGCGATTGAGTTGCTCGTCAAAGTCGGAATAACTTTTAACCGTAATTGTTGGAATTACAGCTGTCCTGTAATTGCGTACGAAATGTACAACTTTGTCACGCGCATCGGGCACGTTTCCATGTTGCACACGCTATCTCTCATCGTTGAACGACGCGCGAAACAGAAGAACAGGGTCTTGACGTATAACGTCGGATGACATCGACTGGGAAACAATGCGATTCCTTGCACAATACTACCGCAAGAACGCGAATTCTTGCTCGTCTCACAATAACGCTCGCGTGACTGTTTCCATCCAAGTCGGGCGAGTAACGGGGCGAAGCGTTATCTAGGCCATGGAAATTACTTTTGGTAATTTTACAGCGGTTGAATAATTTTCCATATAAAGAGTAAATCGATCGTCTGATAGAATTTGAAACATGCAGTTTAGGATCGAAGACTCGAAGCCGTTGCATGCTGTACCGCATAATTCATCGCTCGAGTCTCTCCCTAAATTCCGTAAACTACGGTCTCCGCGACAGCGATGCTCCTACCGAAAACACGAAATATGAATTTCGTGATAAATATTACGGGATATCTCATTACGACACGAATCCTTTTACGATCTCTGTTAAAATTAGAAAATCGTAGTTTTAAAAATTTACTTAACGAATAAAACTCTAAGGTTATTGGAGTCGAATGTTGTTTTATTAAACCAACGTTTGGGTATAAATTGCAGGCTTCAGAACGCAGTAGGTTGATTATTGGAACGTCGATTACCGGAAGTGTCCGTTACAAGGCAGGGTATTATCGGAAAGAGTGATTAGCCTTTTGAACGAAAGCATCAATATTATTAATTATTCTACATTTTCGATTATCAAGAATTTTGAGTTTTGAGAAGTTCCTTTTGCAGACAATTTTTTAATGAATATTTTAACGTCTTTCTCCTGTTCCTGAGTAGACATTCCCCTATAATAGGAAATCCGTATCGATGTCGACGTCATTGCTTCGCCGCGAAACGTTCTCGTCTTCCGTTGCGTGGAATGAAAAATGTTGTCTCTGCGTCATCGTACCTCCATTATGTGTTGCGTCATAATAACGGAGGAAAAAAGAGCGCGAAAGACCGGAGGAGAGCGAGTGATCGATGAACGGATAAATCGGTCGGTGGACACGGACATAAAATATGAAGAAGATACGCAAGATACGGGGGCGTAAAAAGGTAAGTGTAGATAGCTGTTGCGTGTACACGCTGAGCGATGTCGTAAGTAACGAAGAAATAGGATGATAATTTTTTTGATCGACCGTGGGAGTTCAGAGACACCGAACGATCGATCAAACAACGAAGGAACACTGTAGATGTTAATTGTTGATAATCAAATTTAGATGAGAAGCTTATATAATCCAAAAAAGTTCACGTTTTATTGTCTTTACAACTCGATCACTACGATAATGGTGTTTTCTTTAATATCTTAGTTTTCCTTTACCTGGCAAGAATGTTGTTTTCTTAAAATAAAAAGAAATGAAATTTCATGTACATTCGCTCCACCCTGTTACACAGCCTGTGCTCGAAAATTGAGACAGGCTACGTAGTTCCTTTCTAGGCGGAAACAAAGAGAATTTGTCGGTGGAAAAAGTTGAATGATATAATGAGGTTCGCCTTTGTATAATATACCTGTTTTCTGAAGTGGAACGGTGCAACATGCACTTGTTTTCTTCGTTTCTCTTCGTCGTTCCAGGAATAAAATATATGTAAAATCAAGTTGTTTTTATTTTATTGTGTTTGATCAAGAGAATTAAATCGTTTAATAAATTAAATAAATAATTATTACGCAAGTACAGTGTTTCTCAAACTTTTTCCTTTCGTTTCGGTATTGTTATAGCATGGAAGAGGCAGGCCTCATTAAAGCCTTTAACTGTTTTCGCTTAAAAGGAAATTTCAGTTCGTCTCAGTTTCTAGAACCATCTTGTATTCGTGGAAAATTGTCGCGAAGGAGAGTAACAAAATAGGGAGATTGAATTAAACGAACTTGAAATGAGATGAAGGAGGGAGGGAGGGGTGTGGCAAAAAAGTACGGAAAAGTTAATAAGACAGGAGTGGAGTCATCGAATTAGTAAAAGATGCACATAATTACGGTGAGTTTATTTCCAAGAAAACAATATTCCCGGAGATAGGGACACGAACGACAGCTAATAAAAAGACGATTACCTCGCGTTGAACAAGTCGAATAAATAATACTAGATTTGCAACATCAGGAAGAGCTCTACAAAGTGTTTCTTATTTTCAAATGATTTCAAGTAACTCTACGTTTGATGTTTCTTGCTGATGCTGACTGGATTTCGACAATCGCTCGTTGCAAGCGCGTTTTAGGCGACGTCGAATAGAAATACACAAGTATTGTACAGAAAGCAAATCTATAGACACGTTCGAAACGTTGCAACAATCAGTGAACGATTGCTGTGACTTCGGTGCTCTTGTAAACAATGAAGACGATCATGACGATGAAGCTGTATCGGATATCGGATATACAACGTGCAATGATGTCGAACCACCAGAGCAAGATACAACACGTAAAATTCGTGTTCCATCCGTATTGAAAATAGCGCGCGATTTTGTTTCGCGTTTTGTACTCGCGTAAGTGAACATTTACGCAATTAATAGGACCGGAAACGAACGAATAGAAAACTGATCGATTAGTTGGAATACTATTTAATTAGCTCAACGTTCTGGTTCAAGCAGGCTCTTTTCGATAAATATAAAATTTAGATAATAACTAAAAATGTAAAAGATACACACGGAAATAAGTGTAAGACTAAAGATGGGGACCAATTTGGAACAGTTTGGGACGTATAATTAATACTACGTGGTTCAAATGAAATGTCACAAGCTTTTGAGGAAGCCATTAATTTTTTTTTAAATTAAAGGATTGCTGATAAAAATTAATTTTAAATTAAAATGAATCTTTAGCCTACAATACGTACGATACGCTGTCTCAAAAGACACTGACGCTATGTTGACGCAACACAAGAAGTTACTTGAGGGGTAGACAAAAGCTCCGTGCTTCGGATGCTATGCATTTACTAATTACGAAGCAATATTTGACGACTAGCATCTGTCAGACTACGCCGGAGTACTCTCGGGTTAATAATGTCGAGCAATAACTACGAACTTCGATGAAGAGTCGTCGTGTTTCGTAAGAAATATTCGAAACTTCTCGGTAGCAACGAAAGAGCAGATAACTACAAAGGAATTAGTGCAGAGCGTCATTAAAAATTCATTTCTTGAACTATGGTCTGGATTACTTTTCTGAAAATTGTGGAGCAGTCGATGACCATGAATGTTTTAAAAAGAGACACTCGGAGCAAATTTTATTCACGGAACAGCGAATAAAAATTTCAGGTTCGTTCGTGAAATAACTCCCCCTCGCGTTTTACCAGCAACATTGATTTACAAGCGAAGCAACCTACGAAAACTAGTTTACGAATCGAAAATTTCTATTTGTTGTTCGCGAATAAAATACGCTTGACTCTGGTACCAGGGAAACTCGAGCCCTGCAATTTTGTTGGGCTACTGTTAGAGTATTGCAAAAGCTCTTGGAACGAGTGAACAGCAAATAAAATTAAACAAACTTCAAAAAAATATTTTTGACTTCAAAAATAAAAAAATAAAAGATTCCTTTGGTCTATTGGAATTAAAAGAAGAGGTTCGTAATTTACATTTGATGCTCTATTAGTAGACTGCGGATGTGTATACATTTATGGGAAATTTTAATTCTAAAAAAACTGCAGAATGCACTTAATATGCAAAAATGTACGAGTTACTATATTTAGGGGTTGAGGCAACCATCTGCAAAGCTCCCACTTCATTAATTCTACAAATAAAAATATGAGTTTGGCTATTAATTTGATAATTTGATAATAACACACGTCGAAATATACTATATATGTCATATATGTTTATTGCATTTCTTTTCCTAAAATTAATGCTTATATGGGAATCCGAACGTCTATTTCACTCTACTAATTCAACGTTTGTATACGATAGTCATGGCAAAAATGACAACATAACTATTTGCACATCTCGTGTTTACTTATAGCGAATCATTAATGGTAACAGTTCGATGCTACGAATAGTATTAATCAGTAATTCTGAAGTATTCTTGGCAGATAGGAAACGAATTTTATGCAGTCGGATTGTTAAAGAACCCAAAACGATTAATGCACGCTACTTCAGTATTGAGCGTTCGTTGTCAGCTTATAAATCGACTTTAAGCGATAAATGTCATCAACTGATTCTCGACAATATTGAAAAAATACTCGAATATTATCATAATTTAAATTATAATTGATTATTATTATGTTTAAGTAATAAAATTATTTGAATATATTTTGGCATATTATTTGACATACTATAGAAAATTTGAGCAATTAGTGGTCAAGTTAGGGAGCTAGCGAGCTGGTGGTTAGGGAGCGTTAGAACCGGAAACACCCTGTATACGTGTACAGAGAAAGAGTAGCCCTACGGAGGTACAGGGTTTAGGGTAGGACGCAGCTCGCAGGAGCAGTAATATCGATCGATCCGTTGAGTTCGAGGCTCGACAGGGTCGACTGGGGGTGCTGCAAGTAGAAAAGCTCTCCCATAAGCAGGCAGGCTGGCTGGCTGGCTGGCTGCCCGGGCACGGACCGTTTCCACTGTCTGTCCGTCCGTCCGCCTCGTCCGACCGTCTCCTACACGATCGACGCTCCTCTTCGCGGGCTCTCGCGGTCAACGCAACGGAACGCGCGCGACGTCGACGACGTCGCCGGGAACACGGCCAGCAGGTGCCCCGTTTGTTCTTGGCCGACGTGCGCCCGCGGCGGACTTACGGCGCGGTCCAACCTCCGCGGCCTGTGACCCTGAAAACCCAGTGACAGTGCGTGTCTCCGACCTTGGCACGCCGTTCGCCAAACTTCTCCAATGGCAGCGCGTGCAACGGTACCGGCCACAGCTGATCAACCAAAGACCAACCAGAATCACCCGCGACGACCTGTCCACGGATTTCATCGCCAGGCGTAATCAGGTGCGTGCGATCAACCCGGTGAACGACACTATCGCGATTACGTAATGGGTGAACTGTGCCGGCGAACGGTGCCAGAAGTCTCACGAACACTCCATCTTCTTGGCGAGTACACCCCCACCCCCTCCCCCTCCCCCGTTTCGTCGCGTTCGACAGCTGTTTAATTTCGGTTTCCATCCCCTCGGGGACAGATGCTTCCTTCGGAGTATTTTTCGGTAAAAAATAAATCCAGCAAATGAAAATAATCAGGGGAACGATTGATCGTACCGAGAATTTAAGTCGGCCGATCGGAGCAACTGGTCTCATTTAAATCCCCGAATTCGCGCATGGTTCCTCGCGGCGACGTTTAAATTCTATCTTTCCGAAACGTCCAATCGGGGGATGTTAAACGCATCGAATTCGGGGTAGGTTACACTGACACAGATTTCCTAGGGACAGAATGCAGAATCGGGTCTACGTAAGACTCGTAATGCATTAGGTACGCGCGGAGCGACCAGTGAACTACCACCCATCGTCACCCGGCTGACATTTAAGCGTGATCGCAGTGACGTCGCGGCAGGGGTGAATCGAACACGCTGATCTTCCACTGCGCGATCAAATTCCTACGGTCCATTAAATTGGAAATATTAGGCGAAATTTTTTGAACGCGCGATTTAAAGAAAAGGTAATCGATTCGACCCCGTGATTTTCGGGGCGTTGAACAATCGTTTCCCGGCGGAGGCGATTAAAAATAATGAGATACGAGCACTTGGCTCGCGCGACCCTCCGCGACGGAAAGGTTAAAGACGAAAGGCTGCTACGAACAAGGTCAACAGCTGACGGTTAACGTTAACAGTTCCGTGGCTCGGCGGATCCACTCGTTTCTTTCCTCCATCGTGTTCGATTCAACTTTTTTCGAGTCGCAGCTCGAGCGTAGGAACATCTCTATCCGGGACTTCGATTAACCCCGACTGCGTCGTTGTTTTCCGCGCCGACGATCACGTTGCTCGACGTTAATCACGTAACAGCGTTTCGCACCCAAGTTTCACCTTATCGAGAAATACTCCGTCTCGCGTTCGACCACCGGAACATTCGTCGTTCTTTTCTGATCGCGATCGAACGCGAATTCCAATTAACGTCAGCCTGTTTCCTGTTTCACACTTCGAGAATTCCTTTTTTCTCGACGATCGCGATGTTTGACCCTTCCAACAAGAAATTTCGACGAGTTAAAATCACGGGAGGATCGAAAGATTACTGAAATCGATTATCGAAGATCTATGTTCCTCATAAAATTGTACAAATGTAGTAAATTTTACATTTCGAATTCGACGAAGTCCCCGATATTTGAAATTATACGCGATAACGTCCGAGCGGTGGGTGGATGTTGTAACGACTCGCTAACGACGCGTTTGGGTTTGGAGGCGTTCTAATTATATCGAAACATGGGATACTTCCGCGGTATCGGAATCATCGGCGTCGAGCGGGCTCCGAAATTAATGCGGAGAAAAGGGAACGGTCGAAATGGCGGGCGGGGGTAGAAATACGGCGTGACCCGGGCTGTCAGTTACAAAGCGGCGAGCATTGGAAGGAGTAACTACGTTGTTGCGTGGCTGTGTATCTGGTGCGAACTTGATAACAGCAATTAGGACGCGAATAGTCATTGTTTAGCATCCCGTACGCGTCGTACGTGGAATCTTACTTCGCCACGAATAGTTACACTCGATCTTACATTGCGTAACGAATCTGTAATCGAAAAGACGGTCGATTCCACGATTTCATTTTCCAGACAAACGGACGGATGGCGCGTTGAAGAATGAATATCGAAAGGAGAGATTCTCGCGAGGGAACCGAAGAAATGGAAGCCAGCGCGACTGGTTGTTCGACGGGAGCCTCGAATTAACGATGGACACCAGTGGATCGAGAATAAACGCGCCAGCAAGAGCTATCGGATGTACGTAGAGCATGAAGAGGAGAAGGCTCGCCTGACTTCGTAGACACGTTCGGTGCCAGTTTGGAGGATGGAGGAGTCCTCGCCAAGGATTCGTCCCTATCTGGATTGCTGGGACGTAAGTGAATTTCCTCGTAAACGACTCCAATATAATCTCTCGTGGCAAATTTAGATCGGATTTATCCCGACCGTCCCGCGTCGGGCGCGTCGTTTGATCCCTTCGGGTCTCGCGCGTCGTTTCTTCTCGAGCGTTTCGAAGAATTTAAGCGAATTCGAATTTAAGCGTCGGAGATTCGGGGGTGAAGAGAAGAGCCCGGGGCCCTCGACGAAAGTAACCGTCGGGATGCTTTCGATCTAACTCGAATTATGGTAATTGCGCGGGCGCGCGCACTTGGCAAGCACCCGAAGCTTTTCGCTCGAGCGATCGTCCTACGCGATACTTATACAACCGTGCGAATTTTGTTACGCTCGTTCTCCGATCCCCACCCTTCAGACCTTTCGTTACGATAGAAACGCTCGTGGATTCTCCGATGCTTAAATATTTCAACGTTCCGTCGCTCGTATCGTCGACAGAGTCGTTTCGTTGCTTAAACGGAAATTTTAAGTAGCGGATTAAGTTCATAGATCCACCGTTCATGAGTATAATCGCACTTATAGACGCTGGTCCGTAAAACGATGGGAAATTACGAAGCACGCCTGGATAAAAATAACAATTTCGATCGTAGAACGAAAAATTTGTCACCGTTCGATCGGAATCCCACGATTAAATTGCCGCACGTCTTATTTTCGATTCAACTTGTAATTGCGAGGACGTATATCGTACGTGGATGATCGTTAATTTAGCGTATGCATGTACTTCGCAATTGGGTGTTAACGCATCGGGACGCGGATGTATATCTTCTGTAAATCAGCTACAAATTATTAGGTCAACGTATATATACTGCCTCAGCGGCGAAAGGTTAAAGTCTAGCGGGTACTTGCAAGTTTACCGTTGAATCTTCCTTATGTTCGCCTCGGTCGAAGTACCTGCGTTCTACTTTCGTTTTAACGTTTTAAGAGTTTTCAAACCCTTGCTCGACGTTTATGGTTTCTGCTAAAAGTACGATCCTCGATGCTCGGAGAACAGGTAGTATGGTGCTGATTTTTGCGAAACGTGATCGATGGTTAATTCGATACTATCTTCTTTACTTTCTGGCTCGGAAGATTTCACTCCGAGGCAATTTTAAATTATCTTTACACATTACAAATTCAGTATATTCCTCTAAAAAATATCTCAAACTGAATAAATTTTTATTCGATATGTTCTGGTTTTGAGGGATCCAAAGTTACTTAATCGATCCTGTCGCTGATAAATTTTAAAAAATTTGAACAAGCTTTCAGACACGAGAGACGAATATTAAACTAATTCAATCGGATTCTCTTACAAATACAGTCCCCGTTTCTCCGTGGAACGATAAGAATCGAGGACGAAGGCGATCAGGATCAGAAAAGACGTAGCGTCCTCGAGATCGCGGGACTCGACATTTGCACGGGGATTATTTAGTTTGGGATTTTCGCGATAATCAATCGCCGATACAATCGTCGGTGTTGGAGAAAGCGAGCGGTTTGAAGGGAAATCGATGGGTAGCGCGGCCGAAGCCTGAATCCATCTCGAAAATGAAATTTGTCTGAATGGGCTTCTCGAGCTTTAATCGATTCGCGGGAACGAAATGTTCGCTAGTGCCAAGGCAAACGCTTAACAAATCGCCGGGAGAGCTGTTGAAACGTACGCGGCGAGCGTTACACGACCTTAATGCGAACGTCTATTACGACAGAGAGACAAAATAAACGTACGCTGAATGCACCGTTGAAATCCTTCTGGAAGTCCTTCGTCGCGAATTAATTCGTCGCGAGACGCGGGGCCGACTCTTTTTATAATCGCGAACGGAAACACTCCCGTATTGATCTTCCGCGACTAACAAGGTTAATACGAGAAGAGCAAAACGAATCTTATCGCGGCACTGTCACGTACGAGACGCAACGATGCGTCGGCCCGTAATTAAAACTGTCATTATCTGACTCTAAAAGTTCCTCGAAATCATTCTCCAACGCTGGAGAAAGCGTTTAAAAATTGCGTTTCATCACCGAAAGCTCCATTATTTGTCTCAACATCAAGATCGTTCCGTTCGTTCGGAACGTAGACTTTGCACGGCAGAGAGCAACAAACATGCTTTTATCAACAGGCTATAACGTCGGGTATTGTGTCTAAAACAAGGTTAAGTATTATAGTTGCCAGTAAAGATTCGTAATATCCAGACACTGTACTTTCTAGGACGTGAACTGTAAGATTTATTTTTTGCCCCATTTCCCCCGACTTCGTCCGATTCCTCGAGATACGGATCTCTTAGAGAGTCCTGAAAGTACGACCCTATTTTATTTTTAAAACGACAATTCAGGAAGAACGTCGTATCTCGCGGTTAATATTAAAGACTCAAGCTGTATTATTTTTTTGTTATTTTTTAAATATAGAATTATTTTTCGAAGAGACTCGTGGGAGGAAACGATTGGAGTTTATTTTGCGCAACGAACAATTATAAGAATTCTATGCAACCGACGATCGTACTAATTCATCGAATCGTGTGCACAGAGCCATAGGAAAGAGAGAATGTTCAAGAGATCCTGTTAAATGGAATTTAAAGGCAAGGTATGCAACTCCGAATAATTAAATGCATACTCACCGCTGACTGGCGCAGTAGTGACGTATAGAATTATTTGCTTTTGGTCGCTTTTAATGTTTCTTCGAATAAAGCAAACCTTGCTCGTCGACGAGCCAAGAAAATCATTCGTGGAAACAGAATCGGGGCGAAAAATTATTTCCCGGGAAATACGTGCCACGCGTATATCGCCTCGTTTCCGATATCGCGTGTCGTTTAATATTTGCATCGCGAATTTGTGATTTATTGTGACGCTGAACGTTTATTGCAATTTTTTCCCGGAACACGAGTGGTGATTTTTATCGAGTGCCTGCACGAGTATCGACAATGAAAATAATAGAAAATACAGTATCGGGGAACGGTTGTTTGTAAATTATCGTTACACGGAACTCTGATGCGTTACATTAAATTTTAATATTTTTTCAATTAGCAATAATTTACAAACATCGACGAAAAATTATTTTCCGTTAACGTGGAACAGCATGTAGCATTCTTGTTTGTCCGTCGAGTTGTTTAACGGCCAGAGTAACGGGATATCTATTGTTTTGATCGATGTATTTTAATTAAAAGGACGTTACGCTCTTGGAAAATTTACGCTTCCACGCACCTCACGCCATATTAAACGTATGTTGTCGACGTCACGTTGCACCCGCGCCTATTTCGCAAAATCTACGCGTTGGGGGATGCCGATCGATAAAAGTGAGGACGACAGGAAAATTAGATGGTGCACGATAGATTGGAGCATTGAACCAATTTGTTAGCTCTGATTTCCCAGTGGTCATTAGCATTAGTAATTCCTCAGGAAACTTCTGCAGAGGCTGCAGTTTACTTCGTTGGGGCGTTACACTGCCACAGATCGAATCATGACCATTGGGAAGAGGAATATCGAGGAAAATCGCGGAACTTTCGAGTCTTTCTTCGACCCGGAACAGTGGTTCTCGATCGACGGTCGCGATTTCAACGATTCGTTGTTTTTGTTAGAAACGATACTTAATTGCCAAAGTTGGTAAACGTGAAAAGAGTTACGTGGGCTTAAGATATTCCAGGCAGCATTTTTCAAGTTACGACCAGTCGGAGAAGAATACGTTCAATGCACGCCACCGCCATTGTCTGACCTAGTTCGGTACTTCCAATATTACGATTACCCCTCCACTATCAACCAAGTATTAAGCCTTCTTATTAAATTGCTATTAATTGTATCTGAAGCGATACAGTAGTGGAATGGACTGAGTATACTTGTAATTCAATTATGGACAGAGAAGACTTAGTCCTCGGATAAAATCGAGCAGAAAGATTTATAACGATTTATATTTGCATTTTGGAAATACAGTATTTGGGGTGCAGGAACTTGTTTCCTTTATATTAGAAAAGAACTGTTCCAAGCATCGACTATCTTATAAAAAATTGTTGATAGCAACGATACGTACGAAAGTATTATAACGTTTCATCGACTGTAAATACCGACAATTAAATACGAATTAATGGATTTTTAAGGAATCGAAAGCCACTGTTTGGGAATAAAAAATAGATAGTTGCTCAACACGTGGTATTAAGAACGCGAAGGATTCGCGAAAGTTTACGGAAGCGTGGTGTCTCTATACAATATTGATAAGAACGAAATGAAAAGGGTTTCGCGTTGTGGTCTCTTCAGCAGAACGAAGACAAGTACTCGGTGGCGAACAGCCAAGCGTCGTTGCAGGCAGGCGTGGATGAGCACCCGGAAAGAGGCACATGGACGGGGAAATTCGACTTTCTGCTGTCCCTTCTGGGGTACAGCGTCGGGCTTGGCAATGTCTGGCGTTTTCCGTACCTCTGTTACTCGAACGGAGGTGGTGCTTTTCTGATACCGTTCTCGGTGATGCTCATCATCGCCGGACTGCCTCTCATGTTCATGGAGCTTTCCTTAGGTAAGTAAAACTTGTTTCCATCTCGCAATCGAAATATCTACGCTTCGACGGCCATCGTAAGTAATCGGTGCACCTTTAGATTCCCGATCTTACACAACGCGATACTTCGCGAGAAAATTAAGAGCGGGAAATAAAATTGCAGCAGCCTTTCTCCTCGAGAAAAGAAGACTTCGAAAATTCATGAGATATTATGTCCAGCACGATCGACGGATACACCGCCCTCAGACTTTTATTTATGGGGGTCACTCGAATCAATAGTTTATACTGAAAATTATAGGAGGGTTGAAGACTTAAAGGCGATGATCGCTTACAGCTTTCTAAAAACTGAAGAGATAGAGTACGTTATACGATATTATTTCTAAAACAAATTTTTCAAGTCGATTGTTGGTACATTTTAAAATAAAAAATTAAAAGATACCAATAGAATTTGCCTCCCGTTACGCTGCAAATTTTTATCGCGCCTGCGAATGGAATCGTCGAGCTTATACGTTGAACTTACTACATGAAACCGCTTGGACAGAAAGGATTAAGTCGAAATCCCAGTGCATTTGACGCGCGTCTTAATCCGTTCGCCTCTCAGAATTCGTCGAATCGAGATTCCGGTGAAATCAGTTAGTCTTTGAAAGGGGTGGTTTCGTGCGCTACGCCACAGAATATCGATTCAACCGGGTAGAAGTCGAACGCGTCGAAACTTTCCGACCAAGCGATTCGTGCAACGTTGAATCGCGAGACTTATCAATCCTTGGATCGATCCTCCTCCGTACTGATTACGAAAATAACCTTTTACGATGTAAACGCGCTACGTATCGCACGGGAATATGGTAAGTTCTTCGTCACGACGATTCCCAAGGTCAAGTTTTTCGCCGTCGATTCGCCGAAATAGAACGATCGATCTCGCTACCGGGTTACGTAACGTTATTCTTAGGCGACCGTTCGCGATATCGACGCAAATTGTAAGGTGCATTACTACTATCCGGCACGATGGCTCATCGATCGTTTACTGTTTTTTATTCTACTCTTCCTTTAATATTCCGGCCCCCTCCCCCTCCTTCCCCAGGGCAGTACGCGAGCCTTGGCCCAGTGGCAGCCTACAAACGCTTCTGCCCCTTGCTACGCGGCCTGGGATACGGAATGGTCCTCATCAGCTCGGTCGTGATGCTCTATTACAACCTGATCATCGCCTGGACGCTTTACTACATCTTCGTCTCCCTCACCGGTGAGATTTATTACCGCATTGACACCGTTGCCACGGTAGTTTTCCTTCCCGCGATGAAAATATGACATCAAACGCCGAGGTATTGATCCCACGGAGCTTGAAGTCGGTCCATTTTGAGCGGGACCTTTCCGAGTTTCGCACCCGGCCGATATATCTCGCGAGATACCATTTTCAGGAACGCGTTGGTGGTCCTTAATCTTTCTACGCTCACGAATTTTAATTAGAATCAATTTTCCAAACACCTCCGACAAGCTAATTTCAATATGTGGAGACTTCATATTCAATAAACAATATTAACGAGAAATACCGTGAGAATAAGACAGGATAAGAGAACCATACAGTCGAAAATAATTTATATTATATCGAAATTCACTTTAAGGGGTAGAGATTAATCCCTCAAATATTACGTATTGCGGAATAAAATTTCTCAGGAAGATTTGTCAATATTTTAAGCAACGAATTTTTTTCAGTAATTGAAATCCCCCTTGTTGATAGCAAGCACGTTTAGCGAACTCCAAGTACACGAAATAATTTATTCGTAATGTACGGGTGAAAGTTTTGACGCGAGTTTCCGAGTTACAGAAAATTATGCAAATTAATTCGAACAGAGTAAACGATAGATCGTACGCTTTAACAGTTTTCGCAAATACCGTAGGTATTTAAGAGGGGTTAATGAGCGCGATGGTACCGGGGCTGGTTCCACGAAGTAATGCAATTGACGTTTCTAGGGACGCGGTGGGCGTACAGAGACAGAAAAAGAGGCCACATTGCGAATTCAACGGCCACTGTATTATTAAAGAATCAACAACGTTGTGTCTGTAACGTTCGCGTTAAGAGTCGTTTCTCTTTCGAATCGAATGCAGTTTCTTTCGCGATATCGACCGTCCCTGATGGGTGGGGATATTATAGTTCGTAAAAATGAACGTTAAATCAGGGAAAATGAAACGCTTTCTAGTTCTAATTTTTTAACGGAGACAATGATCATAAAGTTAATCGAGAAGGTCGTACATCAACCGTAGTTGCTCGCTCGAAATTGCTTCCAGAGAATGTATCGCGTCGGTATGCCTCGGAAAATATTACGCAATTACAGTCACTTTCCTTCCTGTTATTCTTCGACTGTCAAATTAATCTCTTTTACTCCTTAAAAAAAAATAATAATAAATAAGTAAGCGATCTAGCGGTAAAATTAATCGACGTTCAAATATTTCGAGTGCTTCATGGTTTTTCTTATCCATATGTCAAAGAAGAAGGTCTTGGAGCGACCTACTGGTATTTCCCTCGTGACCAAGGAAATGTCTTTATCGTCGTAGGCGCTGGTAAACTGCCGTGGAGCAAGTGCGAGCCACCCTGGAGCACAGAGGATTGTTTCATGCCAGAAGCTGCCGAAGCATGCGTGTCTCAAAACATGACGTACTTCAAAAGAAGATGCTTAAATTCTACCCAAATGGCCTCCATGGGTCTGACTATCGAAAATATCACTAGTGCCATTAGAAAACCACCGGCCGAGGAATATTTCAAGTAAGAATCACCGGTTCCCTGCAACGTATTACCAACGTGAAAATTAATAAAATTGTTTTATTCTTAAAAATTTCATGTATATGCATATCTTAAATTAAATTGGATAAGCGATTTAATAAAACGGAGGATAGCCATTTAAATTTCTGGATGCAATCCCCGAGTTTCGTAAAAATTTCCATTTTTATCGAAACATTTACATTTCATAAATTCTCAGACGGTACGCGGCTCATCCAGCCTCGAGTTTCAATTCTCGACGATTACCGTGAATTTTAGATCTCTTTAATTGTTTCCCGCGCTCGTTTTATTTTTTTCGGCTTATCGATCTCGATTTAATTGGATACGAAAGTCTCGTCGTTATCGAGCTGCTTTCTTTCTCCGCGCGAGGGTCGTTCTCTCTGGGAAAATTTTTAATTGGCGATCGTTCCTCTGTTCAAATACCGCGGGAACCATCGTGCACCAACATGCTAATTGCAATTGAAATTGCGTTTGATTCAGTAATCACGTCTTGGGGATGAGCAGCGGAATAGAAGAGACAGGATCCATTCGACCCTGGATGGCAATAAACCTTCTCTTGGCTTGGATCATCGTCTTCCTATGTCTGAGCAAGGGTGTTCAAAGCTCTGGGAAGGTTGTCTACTTCACTGCTCTCTTCCCTTACGTCGTTCTGGTAAGTGGGGTTAATTAAAAATCATCACCTAGCCTTTCGAATTCATTTTTTATTTTTACCTCGAAAAATATTCAGTATTTCAGCTTTGCAAACAGAACGAATTTCATCAGATAGACACTCTGGCCTCGAATAACCGCTCGATCGTTCATTTTTAAGCCATTTTTTCGAATCGCGAAGATCGAAATTACTCTGTTTTGTTCGCAGATCGCTCTCTTCATTCGGGGAATTCAGCTTCCTGGCGCCAGCGAGGGCATTATCTATTATCTGACGCCCGATTGGAAAAGACTAATGTCCGCGAAAGTGTGGAGCGACGCCGCGGTGCAGATCTTCTTCGCCCTGAGCCCAGCCTGGGGCGGTTTGATAACGCTCAGCTCCTACAACAAGTTCAACAACGATTGCTACAAGGACTCGGTGATCGTCGCCATCAGCAACATCGGCACGTCCTTTTTCGCCGGTTTCGTGATCTTCTCGGTGATTGGGTTCCTGGCCCACGAGCTCGACGTCCCGGTCGCCTCCGTCGTCGATCAAGGCGTTGGATTAGCGTTCATCGTCTATCCTGAAGTGAGTAAACCGACACCGTATCGATAGATCAACAATTGAAACCGATCTGTTGCTCGTAATTTGCCTCATTTCGATGGCCAATCGCTCGAGAAAGGTTGATTTTACAATCAGAAGATCGCATAATTTCTATTTCGAACGATTTCAAGTACGGTGGAATAAATTTCGCGAAGTCTGCCTCTCCTTTTTGCTCGCGTAAACGATATCGCGGGTTTGAAGAAAAATTTGTTAAAAAATAGGTAGTTGCACGTTTGTCGGTCGCGCCGATTTGGTCGTTGCTTTTCTTCGTGATGCTTCTCACCCTGGGCCTCGATTCGCAATTCGCTCTGATGGAGACCGTCACCACCGCTATACTCGACGCGTTTCCGGCCCTGAGGAACTTCAAAGTGTGGGTGGTCCTCGCGGCGGCTGTTTTCGGCTACGCTGGTGGAATTATCTTCACCACCAACGTAAGTTTACAAAGAGAAATATATTTGAAAATTCGCATGATATCATTAAACGTAAAATGAAACACAGCAAATGGATTCGAAATAAGTTTTCTGTCGCTTATTGTAACTTGAACACATTTTCAGTCGAGAGAATAATTCTCTATAACTTCCTTTTTGTTCAGTTTCTTGACAAATCGGGAATAGAAGCAACTTAAACGAACGTTAAGATACTTTAGAATCAGTACGCTTTCAGAGCATGGTAATACCCTTTTAAAGATTACGGTTTATACCAGAAAACGTCGAACGGTAGAAACAACCATAAAATCTGCTCTGCGCGTTTAGAGCGTGCATACGTTAAAATTATTTCCTCTTGATTCAACATAGTACTTTTACTTAGAGCTTAAAGAAGTACCTTTTTCTTTATTTATCAAATCGTACCGGCTTAGAACGGAACAGAAACGAGATTTTCATTTGTATTGTCTTATTATACGACACACTGTCCACTCAGTCTAACTATATACCTTAATCCGTACTAATCCCTCATACCATTCCACTAATACCCATCCCATTCGATCCCAAACTACATCTATCCATCCCAGCATACACCTTCCAAGTTTCGAGCCTCCGTTTATTATACAGCTGCGTCCTGCTACAATTCTCTTCCCTCTAATATTCAAAACTTCCTAACCTACTTCTCTTTCGAACAACCTGCCAGATCTTTCGTCCTTAATTACTATCTCTAAATACTCTCCATTATATCCGCACTTTTAGTTCCGCTGTTCATTTTATTATTTATTTTATACATATTATTATCGTTATATGTATATTTGCGTTTGCATCTCATCTTATGTATATTTTCAAAATTGGGTTTAAAAACTTCGTCCCTCTACACACTCAATTATCTTCTACCTTCTTGCAATAAATGAATATTTACTTTGCTAGTGCCACAAATTGAGTGCAATGTATCTTATAAAAATGCAAAATATCTTCTTTGATACCGTGGAACTTTTGTTTGAAACGCCTATTTATCAAGCAAACGTTTAACAGAGTAATTTCAAATACCGAGTAAGACGATACATGGAAAAGGAAGCCTTGTTTTCGAGAAGATCGACCTGAAAAATTCATTGGTCACGCGTGCGTTAGAATACGACTCTAAAATCGGAGCAAGTAGAAATAACGATTAATGGTCAGACGCGCCAGGCATATCGTATTCGATCGCGCGCGTATCCCATAAATCTCCGATTTCAATTATCTCGAAAACAAAATAATGTTATTCCTACCTTCCCAGCTCATTTTTGCACGTAAAATCGTACGCGTTTGCTAGTTTGGGCGATGGAAACTTTTATTTAAAAATTGAACAAACCCACCCGGTTTGAATTGTTAACGATTCGATGAAATTGTTGGATATATTTCCAGGCCGGGGTGTACTGGTTACAATTGATGGACAAATACGCGGCCAATTGGTCGGTATTATTGATCGCTATAGGCGAGTGTGTTCTCGTCGGTTGGATTTACGGCGCGGATCGATTCCTCGACGACGTCCAGCTGATGATCGGGCCGCAGAGTCGTCTTTGGATGTTCTTCTGGACATGGATGTGGAGAATCGTGACCCCGGCGACGTTGTTCTTCATTCTTTTCTTCAATTGGATCGAATACCAGCCTCTGACCTACGGCGGTTATGTTTATCCAAAATGGGCGAACTGCGTCGGATGGATCATCGGGCTGATACCCGTTCTGGTCATCGTTGGCATGACTCTCGTACGTAATTAACATTCGAACTCTGTCAACTGGTTTTCGAGGACTTGGTGGATCGATAGATATCGCCACGAGAACCGTAGTTGATTCACAACCGTAGGTTGACCTAGGTACAAGAGTCGATTCTAACTTTCTCAGAATCAATTGAGGGACCCCCGTCGACGAACTGCCTACGACGACGAGGATGGTGACGGCGAGGACGAGGAGGATCTGAACAGGTCGTCCTATCAGAGACACGGCAAGGGCAGGACGAAGAAGAGCAGGTGCATGAGCGTGTGGTGGCGCGCCAAAGTACTTTTGCAACCGACCACCGAGTGGCGACCGGCCGTCAGAAATCCTTCGACCCCGTCGAGAATCCTCACTCACACGCCGTCGCCAGGTAATCAGGAACTTAATTAAACTCCACTCGTGTGCAACTAAACGCCGTCATCCGGCGGAATGTGTATTTCAATAATAAATACGTCGCGGTTGATGTTTACTCGGATGCGAAATCACCGACCCATCGGCCCCCGTTGTAATCGGATTGCGTCGCTCGGCGACATAAATGGATAACTAAAGATAATTAATCTAGACATACACCGTCGCACAATAGAGCGTTTAACGCGCCTGCGAAACACAAGTGGCGATATGGAATTTGTTCGAGAAACGACGTTCGATTTTCGGGTCTTATATTAAATATATTCATCGTTCGTGCGCTTTCGTAAATAATTAATGTGAACTCGATGGTCTTTTATATACTTCGACCGTAGCTTACGAACGCGTCTAAAATTCGTATTCGTTATTTCACGCATATCATAGGTGTACTATCATCTTCTAAAAGTCGAATTCCCAAATTTTTATGCTAAATAAACAGAAATGGAAACAAAATTCTTTACGTGTCCCTGTAGCGAAATTTGGTCTTCGGCCAACCCTGGGAAAAATTTTAATGGGAGGTTCTAGATGAAGTGATAAAATTGAGGAATATAATCACAGATCTCTGGCCACACATTATATTTTAGGTAAGGAATTTTTTTCTCGAAAGTGGTTAGAAATTCGGGGGTATGTCTATTCACAAAAAATGATTGCAATTGACCCCTGGAACTAAATATAATTTTTTCAAAATGATTAGAAATTTTTCAATTTCGCCGAAAAATTTGTCCACCTTCTATTATAGTTATTCGGATAACCGTGTGTTAGACAGTCCGAACACTACTGTACCAGGTTTCTTGATTTCCCGATAAACAATTCCTGGGATATAAAACGTTACAGAGGTCAACATTCGTACGTTATCTAAAAATATCGAGCAATACGAAACACCGGGGGGTGGAAAGACGTTGCATCAATAGCTATTTTTGATTTTCGTCTTATTTTGGCCTTCAAATCTCCCAATAAAATTTTCCCCAGGTTTGGCCGAATGCTCTGTACATATAAGTTCAGAGAAGTTCTTACGAGAGGCCGTATTTTTCTTTTATTAACGGGATCGCCAGGTCCGTGCAGAGGTCCCCGTCTACGTGCGTGCCAGCATGATCGATAACGAGATGTGCCCGGGTCGAGTACTAACGCGAACGTCATCCGCAGTTCATCAGACTCGACGACGCCGGGACCCCGTGATTTCGGGGCAGATTCAATATTACTTTGGCTCGTCCATCGTTGTTCTAATAAGATTTAACCGTTTAATTACCGTCGAGACGATCAAGGATTTTCACGGAAATTGTTCCCCGATTAGAAATAATTGACACTGGAACGCGATTAATTATCGAGGACGCGGCGAATTTTATTTTCGCGACCGTACGATTTAGAGAACGTGAATTATTACTTAAACAGATAGTTTGGAATCTATTATCAATATAAATAAAATGGTGTCAAGTTGTTACGTTCGTTGAAATTCAAACTTTATATCGTGTGTTCATCGCGAGTTTATAATCCTTTAAATCGATCTACGATTCCCATAGATTCAGAAATAGTTTTCGTGAACGAAGTAATATATAAAGATACTGCCTTTGGATATTACTCGATGGATAATACTTTGTACATTTAATGTAGTTTAATGAAATAATTGCAACGCAGGGCCACCAGGAGGATACGATTCCGTGCGAAACACCATAGTCCTGGTGTACGGTCAGCCGATGATGATGCAGCCGTCGTGCTCGTCAGGCACGTCTCAGAAGCTGCCTGGACCGTCGATCCTCAAGAATTTAAGTAAAACCGACTTGATCACGTCCCAACAAGTTTGACACGATGTTCATTTCACATCCGAGGACGAGTCTGCCGAAGAGTCTGTCGCCAAATAATACAACACGTCAGCAAAAAGGTAGTTGCGTATCGCGATTAGGTTCGTAACGATCGATCGATCGATAGGAAGTTTCGGGAAGGATGATTACGAACGTACGGATAGAAGAGAAATTTACGAGACTATTTATTTTATATACGTATTCGACAGAATCCGGTAGTACCTTCTATTTTTGATTCGAGGTAGTCATGATTTCATCAAAGATCGGTTTTCATTTCGACGAAAGTATCTGAGCCTTCTTCGTTGGTTACACTTTAGAGCATTGTTATAGACATTTAGAGGTTTTAAAGTTTTCGATGTCGACTGGTTCGACACGAGCGTTGATTTAGGAAACGAATACGACTATTAGCGAAAGAGTTTATTTGATTACCGGTATTCCTAAGTGCGAATCGTAATTGAGTCGTTCCGCACCGTGATTCGTCTATTGTAAGCGTTCAGGACCGTAGCGTTGCACGATCGACAGGGAATTAATCGGTACGAGGTAATTGTGAAACGTTCCGTACACGTTGCGATGTAAACATTAGAATTACGCTACTCTACTGCTTTTCGATTGTACATAAAAACGTAAGGAATTAACAATTGTGTACGTATTCTAGAAAAGAAAGTTACGTATTTATCGCTGCACTCAAGCGACACACAAAATTAGGAGACGCGAACGTTCGTTCTGATCAAATTGGGCGCGACATTGGTTAATTGCACCCCGCGCGTGTTTCATCCACGGTAACGTTAATTGCGTAGCGATGGGTTTAGGCGTTTCGAACGATAGACATTCGATGTAGCCGGTTGAACGATCGAGAGGTCCCGTTTCGTCGGCAATTTATTGAATTTCCCCGGCAAAAGTATTTTATCGCGAACGGTTCGCCGTTACGAGATCGTAAGTTTTATAAATTTATAGTTTCGCTACCGGTTGAGTATTTCTCGATGTTGACTCGCGAAATGTGCGTTATCCTCGTTGATAGAGTTCCAGTGAAACAAACGGAGATTCTTCGATCAATATAAAGTATATATACGGTTTAAGATGAACGATACGACGGAAAACTATACTTCGGGACGCTACGATATTCACTCTAATTATCACAACGCTACAACGCTGACGATCCATTGAATAACGCTTGGACGACTCGTCGCTAGGAACTCTAGAGGACTCGAAACGACTGACGATTACCGTAGCATCGCATTTTAAAACAATTACACGCATTTCAGGAACCCTTCCAGCCACACCTTTAAATTAGAATTAAAGCTTTCTTCCTACATTGACTCATCGATGTCCTCCAACAGAGAAACGGCAACAATCGTTACTCGACGCGAATAGAATATTTTATTTTCAACCCGGTCGTCTCGATTGTTGCTTTATTTTTGGCCGATGTTTTAACTCTTTAAGCGTAGTTGAAGACAAAGTAGACACATGTATAACTATAGCCGAACATACTCGTGTATTTATTTCGCCAACTATTGGCTTCGGTACTTAAAAATAATTGAAAAGTCTGCGCAACGTTTAACGATCCTCACCTTTTATTTTTATTCCATACAATTGATTCTTACCTGCTGAGTACTATCTCTATTATTATCAAGAGCGATCAACGTAAACGCGGCATAGCGCTTAAAGGGTTAAATAGTTAAGTGTTACGCTAATATAACTTTCAGGCAGACCTGGCCACCTTTGGAATACTATTTTAAACGATACGTTTTCTCGCAGCACGGTCATTTTATTTTTAAAATACTGTCGCATTAAATAAAAAATGGCTCGGAAGCTCTTAACGGTTGTCAACCATTTCTTTTTATCGTTAGTTTTGTTCCTCCTTAACAGTTCGATACTTTCGGCGAAAGTGTAGCTCGGTTCGAAAGATAACTTATTTAAAATAGTTTCAAACAAATCGACGTATCGTTTTCAATTTTCGCTCGAACGTGTCCAGGTTTGCTTTCGGATAGAGAAGAGAAGCGCGATATTGGAGGAAGACGAAGAACGCTTGATTTCTCGGTACCGGTTCAAAGTAAAGAATATTTTCGCACGAATTAGGGTGATTGTCGAGCGTTCCTGCACACGCGCGCCTCCGATTCCTATTATTTTCGGGCTGTCGAGGTCTTTCAGGGAAATAGATTAAATAGACGTTGCGCGGAGACTGCATGCCACGTTAGAGGGACGATATTTTTGTGCCGATCACGGATGACGGAAGGGTGAGGGGGACGAGAAGGAGGGGTGTCGTTTCACGGGTCAGCGAGAAAGCGTTTTCGGATCGTTTCCGACCCAACATAGGAAATATAAATAAACATTAAGTCGGTGAAGTCGAGATGTTAGACAATTACGCGTACGTACAGTCAATAACGTGAGAGATCGTGATTCTTTATTTTTTATGTGACCCCATTTGTAAAGTGTTGCTAGCTGTATCGTATATAATATTACATTTATCGTACCAAGTATATATATATATATATATATATATATATATATATATATGTATATACAGGATGCTTCGAGAAACTGGGCCCAACCATAGTCTCTGAACCGTACGAGATAGTCAAGTCTAAAACATCTTTTGAAATATTCCATTTTTTTTTTTAGAGAAAATAAATGCGAGTGTACAGAATTTTAATTATCAAAGCAATCAACAAATACTCGATATCGTTTTCGTCCGATTTTCTATCTTTTACGGTTCGAGAGTTCTGGCTGGACCCAGTCGCGCGAAACACCCTCTATATATACATACACAGACGTTACAGATATACATATAGTATATATACATATGACATATATATGTAATATATAAATATATTTATAGACGCTTGTACATTGGTGTACGCGTCGCATAGTTTATTACGTGTACAAAAGAAGTATAAAAACGACACGATCGTCGTTTGACACAAGAGGCTAAGGGCGGAGAGACAAAACAAAGAGAATTGAAAGAATAAAGGAGAAAAAAGAGAAAACGAGAAAAAAAAAAAAAATACAATTAACATTAAACGAAACCCGCTGCGTTCAAAAATTAAAAACAGAAGAATAACTAAATATGTTAACTCATATCCGTGAGCGTGCGAAAGTAAACGATGCGTGAGATGTTGCGTTTCCGTGTGTGAACAAATGAAGAAAGTGTGTACGTTGAGAGCGTATACGTATATTTTCTAGTGTAAAAATGGGCCTAACTCCACTTTTCGTCCTCTCAACGATCCACGCGCACATGTTGGATGGTTGCGTACACTTTTACAAAATTCCTCTTTTCGTTAGAATTTTTTCACCCGCGTACGGAGATCGCTGCCAAATTTTTTGACGTTAATCGATCATTTATACGGATGTCACAATATTTATTAGAAGGTTCTTCGGTTACTATACGGGATATCATAAAGAAAACGAAGAATAAACTTCGTTTTGTACGAAGCTTTGTTTTCGGTATAATCGATCTTAGAAACGCGCGTAGAATTTAGTTAGTGATCGATTAGTTTGACGATAATAACCTCTCGAGTGTTCGAATAGCTCTTCCTTATAATTACCGAGTATTAACAGTACTTTTTTTCCAGGTAAATAATCAACCACAGATTTTCTGAATTTACGCGAAACCAAAGATTCGTACAAACGATCCGTGTACTTTAATTTCAATATGATTTCCGTTGGATCTAGTTTGCAAACTATCGAGGTGGATGTTAGAAGTAAGTAATCGCCCTTTGCCATCGATCCTTTGCTCAAAAGGACGAACTAGTGGAGGAGGATCCTCGCCATCCGCGTGCAGGATGGATCCTCGGTGACCTAATTAACGTCTTAGAATCTAGTCGTTGTTAATATTCAGAGCTTCGGAGAATAGGCAAAAAACCATTCGACAAGAACAGACACTCGAATCCCAAGAATCGGAATTCGTTTCCAATCGAGCCACGTCTCGCGTCGAAGACAGTGAAAGTTTACAGAATCGATTCCCAATTTCGAATTTCTCTCCGCCGACAACAATCTGTAATTGTAATGATAAAAACCGGTCGATGGAAAGTCTCCAACGCTCCCGACTAAAATATTATTTTCACCGTGCGGACAATTGTTTCGTGTTTAATTTTACGAAAAGAGGTATAGACTAATCGCCCAGCAACCATGTTGAAATTAGAGGGGGGGAGGGGAAAACAAAACGCGAGATACGTTTCGAACTAGCCATATCCGAGACATAATCAAGAACATAATTCCTTTGTTAAGGGCGTCCCCCACCCCGTTCCTTTGAAAAGAACCGTTAAATCGATATAAACAGACGACAGTCAGCGACGAATTGCGATCGTTGATTGATATACTTGGGATTCGCGATGGAAGGGCGACTGATAGATAAGCATTTCATAAACTTTAATGTCCTTAGGCTAAGTAGGCGAATCTAATGCAGGTTTAAAAAGGAATTTAAACAAAAGATTGAAATTAGCGCGTCATTAACACAATAATAATACATATTAATTATAAAAACGTTATGTTACAAGTAAAGAATAATAATAAATAGCGTTAGAAGCCGGGTTAAGCCGGCCAGGCCAAACATGGTCGACTGTCCTAGGTAGGGTTAAGATTCAGTGACGTAGAATTATCGGTAACAACACGGTAACATTGCCAGTAACAATAACAAGGAAAGAAACAAACATTACCGATACTTATTAACTATTTTAACGTAATTTTGTTCGAGCAGTTTAGCTGTACAACGATTTTAGATAACAGATACCGAACGATTATCAAACCCACGGCGGTTCGAACGTCTCTTTCTCGTTCGTTAGCTTTTTACGTCCGGTAACCACTAGTTGCCCATTTGCGTCGCGAGTGGGGGATTGTGCCTGGTGTTCAAGTGACCTTGAACAGTCAAATTATTGCGGCCCTACGAAGTTACAGTCAGATAATGAAACCTCAATATCGTAGACGAATGAAATCGTTGAAAACCTTTACCACGGAAATTCTCAAACAAATCGATCGTTCTATTTTAGAGATGAAAACGAAATAGATGAAAACAACACGTTCCGATTATATACACGTTTGAACATTCGATCGTAGGGGGGGGATTCGATGGTAACAGGATTCTAATTTCTTACATAGCTAGAAACGATTTGTCGAAGGTCCGGATCGATGTGAGCATTTCTCAATTAAAAACGTTCTCGATGTTCTTCAGCTTACAAGGTAATGAAATTAAGTATAGAATTAAAAATAAACGAAACCCAGGTGTGTGTATACAAGCGAGAAAAGAATACATTAGCGTACGAGTGCAAGTATTTACGGAGTATGAGATGTTACTAGTTGTATTGTAAAAGTAGCGGAGTTACGACGATATTCGAAGTCGGTTATAAGATACACTTTCCGTTTTAATAAATATTTTAATAAATATTCTTGTATCGACTGGATCTAATCGAGACCTTCTACAAATTGTTTTTTTTTTCCGATCGATGCCCGTTCAATGGTCGAAATAAATAAAAACCATGGCTTAGGTTGTCTCGCGTTATTGCTAAACGAAGCGCCGATTCGGTGATCTCGTTTTGCCGGACGGATCCACGGTTACCGGGTTATGTTACGAACTTTACGTCACTAAGAGCAACCAGTAGAGCGAACAGTACAAAGTAAACGTGTCCTAGAGCCAATCGAGGAAGAAGGAAAGCGTTCGAGAGCGATAAGAGGTGCGTTAAGTTTCGTGAAAGCGATTATATTAGTTATTCCTTCTCGTTAAGGGAAAGATTTTTGTACGTCGGCGAGCGTGATTCCGTAGAAAATCGTCGGACGGTCGAAAGAATGGAATCAAATAAACCACGCATAGTGAAATTCCTGATAAAATGTTCAAACGAATAAAAAAGAAAAATAAAGTAAATGAATGGTAACGGTTCGCTTCTGTCGCGAACGATGCTTTCACGCGCGCTAACGTGTCTCTCGATTTTCTTCGTTTAAATTTCGCGAGACTGTTTTTCGTTTATGGTTCGTGGATCCCGATTCCTACAGAAACATCGTCACGAGACTTAATATTAAAGTATACTTGTTAGATGTAATCCATTCTTTTGAAGAGTTTTATGTACGATAGATAGATAAAACTTAACGGATCCCGACGCGAGAACGGAGAAACTAATTGTTATTGTTATAGAGCGTAAATCATTTTTATCGTCTTACCCGACACGCACAGTGTTAAATCGCTGATAAATTTAATCCCGAACGCGATGGGAGACAAAGGTTCACGTTGTAAATTAATCAGTCTTTGCAGGGTGAAGATATTTCACGCTGTCGAACGATGTTTAAAAATAAACTAAAATTTTTCCTCGATGTTATTAACCGTTTTGTACATTTATTTAATTTTACGTACGAACGGATCGGTTGGTTCCCCTGCATCCTTGGCGTGAGACGCGTGAGGTTTATGTCTAAGTAACGATTAATGGTTAACTCATATCAGATCCTCGGTGTGTCCTATAAATAATTAATATCCGTTCGCGATACTCTGCCTTCGATCAAAACGAGAGACACTTTCAGAACGTGGTGAAAGATATACAATCAAAATATAAGAAAGAAGAATAAGGACGGGCGAGGGTGGATCGAACAGTAAACGTAACTTTATTTCCTGGTAAATCAAACATTATTTTAATTCTGAATTTATTTGCGTATATAGACGTGTCGTTTGGCATTCGTTCATAAAAGATACGTTCGAAGCAAAATTAAAGAATTTCGTCAGAATCTTGAAGTGTCTCACTAGCCGTATACAATCAAATTTAATTAAATCTGGCTAAAACCTCTCGTTAGAATCTGACTTACACCTGTAATTTTTATAAAATTCTATACAGTTTAATATGTTTTTAAAAATCATAATAGAATGTGATGAATTTAAATACAGAAATATTGGTCGAATATGGGGTATAATCGAGTGATCCATCATCGAGTACTATTACAAACAAATTATCGATGCTGTTCGATTTATCTTCGTGCGTAAGGTTAAGGTAGCCAACAGAAAGTAAAAGGGATAAATGAAAAACTGAAATTATATATTGTATCTATATTGATCAAACACGTATATATATATATATACATGCAGGCATAGATATATATATATATATATGCAGGCATAGATATGTATATATGTATGTATATAAAACTAAGAAGTATATACATATGTATACACGTTGTTGCACAATGTCAGCGACACTCACCCACGTATAGACACGGCGGGAAAGTTTTACGCGTGACGAGTTCAATTCGAAATGTTTATCGTGCGTTGACAATTTGTGAACCAGTGAGAAAGAGGATGATTAAGAAAACAAATAAAACGATATTCGAGAAACGATGAGTATGTGTGTATATATATATAATCATTTATATATATATATACACACGCATATATATATATCGAAAAATAAGAAATTGTATTATTATACATGTAAATTACATTGCGGGAAATATATACATTATGTAAATTCTATGTATATGTATATGATGCGTGTGTAATTAATAAAGTGTTGATATATATGGTTGACGATAATCCTCCGCCGGTTTTCTTTTTTTCTCCAGTTTTTCGATTTTTGGCCTTAACGTTAAAGTTAGCTCGAATTAAATTAATGTTACATCCTAGTCTATTCTTTTTTTTTTTTTGGTAAATATTCCTTATAAATACTAGTCGATTAAATCTATAAACGGTTCTCTCCCATCGGCGGCTTAAAAAGCGTTTTTGGTGCGTTTCGTTGCAACGTTCGAACGGATGTATTTGGATTATGTTAATCCATTAAGGACCAACGTTGATGTAAAATCATTTTAAAATTAGTTGCGGAGATTTTCTAAAGAATACAGATAATTATGTTGGTCCTGAATGGGCTAATAGTTCGATGAACACAACGGTTTAATAAAAAGACACGATATAGAGTAGAATCGTGCATAATTGTAATCGTCAACTGTTAAATTACGTTTCTTATTATTCGCAATATTTTTAGATTGTCTTAAATTGGCGAAACGGTGCATAGAGTTTCGAAAACTGTGTAACAGGGCGAAGTACTTGTGCTTGAAGAAATGTTCATCGATGATTGCTCCAAATTGTTATCTATTTAAATATCGGACGGAATGTTGAATTCGAATTAAATTAATAAATCGTTTCGTTCGCATGGAATTATATTCGTGTCGTGAAGCTTTCGGGAAAAGTAAGAAAAAACTATCGTTCGGCTAAAGACGATTACATATTTGGCAGAAAAAAGTATTGTCACGATATCTTCGATAAATTGTTATCTGACAGTACGTGACTCGATAAGTATAGATTACTTAGGCATACGTGTTCTATCGGTATTTTAAAATAGAACTTCTTGAGTCGATCGTAACAATTGAAGTCTCCGATAAAATCTGTAATATTATAATACACTTCGAGTTTCGAAACGAAGCAGTAAATAAATTCCTGAACACAATGACGCTTTCAGACATACGATTTACAAGTCAGATTTTCGTTGATGATTCAGTGTTTATCGTATATAAAAATAATCTTTACAGAGACCTCGAACACCGCGTTCCACGCGCATTTTGCATCAGCGATCTCAACAACTCGATAACCCTATGGATTTCTTTTCCATCGGTGTTTCTTTATCGTTCGTTTACGAGTTTTTAATTAAGCGTGCTTAGCGTATGCTTCATATAATTCTCATACGTCACAAACGCATAAAACAAGTCTAATAGCAAGATAAATAATGCATGTCTCATGACTCATAAACGAAGTCGAGGAAGTACCTTATTCGCGGTTACATTTACGACGGTAATGAGTTACTATTCGATCGAAGTAATTAATCATTGCTTGTAAGGCTCTTTTTTAAATACTATCGATCATCGTCGATAACGTAATAAAGATATTAACTGCGTTTCAAATTACATACAATATATCTTATTCATCCTGTGGTTTGCAGAATAATCCAATTAGACAATATAAATAATTCCCGCAATTCGTTTGACTTAATTAATCTTATCTTCCATATAATTACAAACGCTGTTTAAATAATCGAAACCTACCTTTTCATTTCATTTTACTAATCGGAATTGCTAATACAGACGGTTCAAAAAAATACACAACACGCACTAATTTCCGCATAAATATTCAAAGTGCAAAAACTCAAATATAATGGTCGAACCGCGAGAAGAAAATCTTTTTCTCGACGGGCCTGATTTCTGGTCATTAAACGAGAGACTACTGTACAACGATTGGACACGTACAATTGATACAAAACTCGAAACGTTTCTTACGAAAACGATTTCGCGATGGAAACGAAATTCATGGATAGCGTTTTCTCGCCAAAGTTTATCAGTGCCGCGGTCGTGGAGCGCGCACATTATCGAAGTTACGTGGTGGTGGGCGGTGGGCCGAAAACGACCTTGCTTCTGGAAATCGCGCCCAAGACTGGCTTCAGGAGAATGAAGAAGCCAGCGATGAACAACGACGCGAATACCAGGTCTCTTCCTGTGTGGGTGCCTGGCCACCATCTGGTGTAGGTTCCGGTGATCACGCTGGCCAACAAAAGTATCGTGACAGCAATGCCAGCGAACGCGTGCATGATTTTCAGGAGGACCGGCCTGAACCTCGGATAAAGCCACTTAGGGTTGTTCGTGACGATGCCGAAACCGGCGGTCAGGAACGCCATGATGATGCTGACCAAACCTAGTATCGAGTGAGGCGAGGCGAAATGGTATCCATTGTTGTTGATCTTGTTCACCACGATGATGATCAAACCGATCAGCACTAGGGCCAACCCTACCGTGTGCAAGATCCAGTGCATCGTCACCCTGTTCACTCTGGAGATCTTGTGACCTATGTACGCCTCCCCGGAAACGCTGAACACCGCCTCCGTTATCAGAAGACCCACCTAAGGCAAAGAACATTGGATTGGTTCAATTTTTAAAAAGAATTCAGATTCGATTTTGGTCCCTTTACGAACGTGGTGATTGTATTCATTTATCCAGGGCGACGAATTGTTGTTGTTCACAAGATATTGTGTTTTATGATATCCTCTGTCATCAAAGAATTGGTTCAAGTGGTCAGCTGGTCCTTTGGTTGCTTCATGAATTTTTCAGTTATATTAATTTAGCTATACCCAGGCCAATGACACATTATTTTAATGTTGAAGAATAGTTGTAGTTTACTATACACAGGTGGTTCTAAGTGAATTGAGATTTAGATATTGGGTCTTTGATTGTGTTATGAATTTTTTAGTTATATCAATTTAGCTATACCCAGATATAAATAACAGATCAAGGTCTAACGTTGAAGAACAGTTGCAGTTTACTAGACATCGTGTCCTTATAATATTCCCCATTTTTGGAGGATCTCAGGTAAAGGTAAGGTCAAGAAAAGCCTCTACGAAATATATACTTGTAAATAATTGTACAGCGAACAAATTTTTTGAAAGAAGGGATAAGCACAGTTTCACATGCGTTGTTGATAAGTCAAGAAATATGTCTACGCTTTGTTTTTCATACCGAATGATGGTGCACATGTCTCGAGGTAAATTAATCACCGTTGTATTACAAGGTTGGGATACTTTCAACTCAAGCATGATTACTGTGAGAAAATTGACCGTAGACACGGAAGACTTGAATGGAACCTCGTGAATCACGTCTGGAGATACTATGTCTTAATTCGTGGAAGTATGCAGTTTCATGTAGAGTATGACTTCAATTCTCTTCTCTTCATTAAATATTCTATTTTTTTTTTTTTTAAACATATATAAAAATTATTTAGATTTAAGATACCCTTCTGACTTAAATTAACTCGATTTCAAATAGGAAAATTTGAGTTTACGTAACTTTAAAGCGCCCCTCAAAGGCATCCACGCGTTACGAAACATGTTTGCACGAGCAATTGTAAAAGTACCGGCGATTTATTGCCTCGTAAATTGTCGTGTCGAATTTTCTGCGCGTGAAAAGACACTGGTCGCCGAAGAACGTGGAAAAGTCACGAACGTGGATCTGGATTCCCGGCGCTTGTACTCTCGTTACAAATTTTAATCGGTAAATTGGCGTTATCTAGTTAACTGCTTACTCCGAGACTCATGCAGATGGGATGCCAGGAGAAGAAGCTGTAGCGTCCAAACGCCAGCGTCAGGATGTAGATTACTGGCGCCAGTAGAAGAACGTGAGTCAGGGTTGAAAACACCAACGTCACGGCGCTCGGTGGCCCTTTACCTGCTGGCGGGTCAGACATCTTCCAGTCGATTCTACTTACGCGACTGGAACGAGAAATAATTCGCATTTTAACGCTTATCGCACGCTCTAGGAGCGAATTATAAAATTCTATCGGTCAGATATTAATCAAAACAATCGTTTGATTCTTTACTTGACTATCGACGCTCATAATACTTGGAAATAATAATCACGCGGGGAATTAATAATATTAAAACAGGTGAAATAAATCAGGCTGTTTTATAAATCTGTACACCTGAGTATACACAATAAAAATCATTGTTTTGCTCGACCTGCTTGTGAATTTTACAAAAAGGTAAGTTCTCTTTTAAAGTAAAATTGTTGGTGTTTAAATTCTTTCTTTTCGCGGCCTATCGGTGGGTGATCATTATTCCGCGCGAAGAAAGGCTTTGCATAACCGTTTCCTTTTGCTCTCGCAACGTGCGTGTCGGCTCGAATTTAGAAATTTCATTTAAAAGTGTAGGAGCGAATTTCTGGAAAGAGACCGCGATGCAAGGAGGCGTGGAGGCTCCCATTCTTCGATTAACAAGAGAGTTGCAGCGAATTCTTTTGACGCAACTGCTCCTACGGTCGTTTAAATGCGCGACGTGTGATTCATTGCTAATTACGCGGCACGATTCCCCGTTTCTTTCAGCATCCACTTGGACGAGCTTCTAGAACGTCGTCTTTTGCAATTGCACAAGCCCGAACTTAATAAATGGGGCTGCTGATTAAGTAGACGCTCGTCGCGATCGAAGAGCCCGTTATTGTCGCGAATTCGCTGACGTTTCGTTCGAACTATTTCAACGATCGAGCATCGCGAGAAGTGTCTCCGAAGCTGTTTCGAACCGATTTTCTCGGAGTTTATTCCGATAAATTATTGCCCTTACGTTTATGTAAAACGGAGTTGATAAATGTCGGGTCACGGAAGAAATTTCCATTTTATTCCGAATCAATAGCGATTACGGCATAATAAAATTACCGCTGTGACGTGCGTCTGAGAATAACTCTACGAAATCAGATCGAAAAAGAAATTCTTATATTAAACCGTGCATCGATTCGACGCATTTAATTTCGTTACTCTCTTTCGACAATGAACTAGTATAATATATTCTAAATTAATATCTTTCTACTTTGATATTTATCTTGGCCATGTGTTAAGAATTGTAACCGAAAGAACATATGTCTTCTTAAAATCAAGACGATTTTACATCGAGCCGGATGCTCGCGAAGACACGTACAATCATTTGCCTTGTAAATACTAACATTCAAAGTTCCATCATGAAATTGAAATAATTTTTCCTCGTTCGTCTTGCCGATAACGCAACCTACCAGCATCCGATCGCTATCTTTAGAACTTCGAGTAAACATCTGCGATGATCGTTGCTTTTTAAAAGAAAAACGCTGCTTTTAACAACGATCTGACAATGCAAAATTCTACGCCTGGAATCATGGAAAAACGTCCTTGTCGTTGGTGCAATAACGGAGGAAACAGATACTTCTTGAAGTTTTCAGGAAGAGATTATCGAGGAAAAAATCGAGTAAAATTTATTACCCCGCGCACGATCAATAGACGCTTATCGTGTCCTCTGAAGCGCTATCGAAAGCGTTGATTATTCGATCGGCGACTGCATTATCGCCAGTACGTGTATAGATAGTAATTATTTTTATGTTGCAACTAATTAGCCCGATATTATCGTTTATTGCTTTATAAGATCGTTTGTATTATCCGGTGCACGGGTTTATCGCGTTCCTCTAAAAAAAAGTCTCTCTATCCGTCCCAGATACTGTAATACCAGTAATTCTTGCAAACAACGGCAGGTTCAAGTGTTAACAACTGTAAATTTTAACGACTGTTTCCTTAAATTGAATAAACGAACGACCGACCGCGGGAAGGTTTCGGATGACTGACACTGGCGAGGATGACCATTGGAAAGCAGAATGCAACTTCCTCGTTTTCCCACGTCCTATTTAAGCTTAAAAATTTCCTTGTACACGCAAACGAGAAATTAAACATTCAGTGACGCCTGTACTCGATGTCCATTGAGAAACATTCAGAGCTGTATTAATACAGGGTTATTATTGCCAAAGGAGAAAGATAAATGTTTAAATCTTTAAATTTTTTTTAGACGCAGCAGTGCATGTGCAATTAATTTATAACATAGTCACGAAGTGTTTAAGTATCTTCTTCAATTAAGACATTTTTTGAAAATATCTCGAGATCTAATAATTTTTTTGCCATGGTACCCTAATCATTTTATACGTAGAACGAACAGAAGAATCGATCTGTGTAAAAAAAATATGCATTTCTATTTGAAGAAATGACGCAATTGTTAATTGCACATGCACTGCTGCATCTAACAAAACTTTAAAGGCCTACGGATGTAGTGCTCTTCGAACCATTTATCTTTCTCCTTTGGCATTTTTTCGTAAATGCAATAATAACGGAGTTATGACTTGAAACAATTGCGTGGACCACCCTGTATAATATCTTGCAGAGAATGTTTAAAATTTTTGATCGTAGAATCGGGAACAGTGGCAAATCTAATATTTAATACAGTTAATAAACGTTTTTTCGAAACCTGTTACAGACATGTAACACAGTTGAATTGTTCCGTTAACACAAATATTTAGTAACGGGTATAGAAAAATATTGCTATCTACGCATAGAATAGATATCGATGGTGCATTTGATATTTGCGAGACAACTTTTGTACAGAATTTAATTATTCCACCGTGGCGAAATTTGAAAAAAATCTTCTCGTAACAGAGAGGTGCATCGGACACGCTTGAAATTAAAAAAATTCCTGACGTCGCAACCGAAAAAGAGCAACGAATTTAATATTCGTTGGTAGCCGAACTTGGATGGTGCAAGTTTCTTTCGACGATTCGAAATCAAAGCAGTCCGTAAGGTTGTAAATTGATTTGGCGTCCGATCCCGTTGAAAAGATTGAAACGTCAAATAATTCGCACGGCTGTGAACGAAATTTGCCGCGATTAAATTGGAGAGAATTGGGAGGCGGTTAGCCAGAGCCGACGCGAGCGAATACTCGATTCGTTATTCCGGTAATTACAACCGCAGCGTGATTACATTTATTACGGTGTAATCACGCCCACCGCGACGATCCGATTCGTGACCCAATGCGGCATACTTTCAGATACGCTCCGCTTTCACAGTACCGAGCGAAATCTCGTGTTGTGCTTGTGCATCGAAAACTAAAACGCCGTGCTGGATATTCGCGGTACAGAGACACAACTATCCCCAAAACAATTTTATGAAAACGATCCTATTACAATTTCTTATTTAATGGAGTTTAAATGTAATAAAATAAAACCCACAAAGAGTAAGAAAATGCAGCTCAAGACCTGGTCACGATAAATATTAAATGTTCAAATGGAACGTAGACAAAATGATTTTGTGGGCGACGGGAGATTTGAACTTCAAGACTTCGCGCGCTGTGCATTCGTCCGACGCAGTTTCTTCTCGAAAACTGAAAGTTGCACGTTCATGTCTCATATTTTAATCGTTGGGAAAAATACCTGTAGAAGCAGAATATTCCACGCAAATAGGGGAAAAGTCTCCAGCGAAAGAACTTCTGTCTCTGTCAAATATCGAGGATCAAGAAAAGACAGTGGATTGACTCGTTGGTAGGGAAAACCCGTCACGGAACTCACCTTGGACGCTATATTATCGCGTGATCGAGCGTTGTAGCGGTAAAGGCGCCGCGTCGATTTTCCAAAAACGGAACTGCGTTATTTTTTTTTTTTTCTTATATCGCGCGCGCGAGAGAAAGAGCACGGAACGACGTCCGTTGCTCGACTGAAGTACGCGGTGAAGTGTGCTCGTGACGATCTATCGCTGCGTTGCCGATACTCCTTACAAACGAGGAGGAAAATCGTCGAGTAAACGCGGCCTTGGCGCGCCTAATCGCCGCGATCTCCTACGGCCCGTATAAAATGGACGTTGCTCGCGTGCATGGAACTAGAGTCGGTCGAGCGCTCGACGCATTCGTGCACTTAATATTCAAATCGACGAGCAACCGGGACCACAAATTAAATACTCTCTATCCAGAACTATTTTCCGTGAAAAAAAAATACGATTACCGATGGAGAGAATAAAATAACCGAGTCTCGAGTTCAAAGTCCCCCTTTAAATCGTCAAATATTAATGCAGAAACGACCAATGGATCTTCCATCTCCGTTGCTGTCGTCATCGATTAAGACGAATTGACGCCATCTCGTCGTAATTATGTTTCCAAGACGTCTAACGTTAAAGTTTGGACGCCAGTTTATCCTCCGAAGTACGGCTGCGGTTCATAATTGAGAGCGTAGCATGATTGACAAGGCGTAGGCCTGCTGAGTCAATATTATTTTTGGCACGGATTCGAGACTCTGGTCTTTTTCTCGATCGATTCGATCACAAAAAATTTGCAACATAATTCTCTGCTCTAACGTTCTCTAAATAAATATCGAGGATCCATAAGTAGGAATCGGACAGCGCGTAATATTTGCGTGTGGCAGGCCTCGCGACGGCTCAAGTGTCTGACCTAGTACGATACGTATTTCCTGCCAGGACAGCTTTGCAAGCTGCTATCGACGCTTCTTCCGGTACTTCGATGTCTGTTTAAGATAACAAATAGTCGGACTGCTTTTAGGCAACGTTGTAAACAATCCGAGCAACCCAGTTTACAATAAATAATAAATATTTCGAGCTATTCGCAGCGGCTCGAGTGTTTGATTACTTTGTTCGGCTCGAGTGTTCGCGCCATGGCGAAGCTCGAAGCTTTCTCTAACAATAAGTACTCGAACAGATCTAGTTCGAGACCAGTGGTAAATCAGAGGCCTCATTGTTCGCCACGTCGTGATCCAATATCGCGTGCCGGTGGCTCCTAACAAAGCTCGACGCCGGTTCTTTTCAAGCTTTCTTGTAGGATACTTTCTTCCTATCGTTCCTTCGTTTCGGTCGTTCAGTTCTAATTCGTTCCATACGGGAAGAAGTCGTTGCAACGACGTATCGTCGTGATTATTTCCAACTCGTGCACGGTATTTAGAGGCGAATTTCAGGCCCGTAAACAAAGGAAAACGATGAAACGGACACTAGAGCTCGACGAAATCGTGCACGTTTCTTTTATATTTTATCACACGTTATCAGATGGAACCACGAGTCTCTAATTTTATTTTGTTTAATAAAATAGTCAACTATATAGTAGATTCGGATAATCGAATAACTCGATTTATTGAAATATTGAAATCGAAGAGTTAATACGAAGCTTTGAAATATGAATTTCCTTTCGATTTTTAATTACATCGTTAATTTTGTATTCGACTGTTAATTTGCTGTTTTACGATCGGTTTTCAACGATAAGACGCCTTGTTGTCGTTTCATCGACATTGTGATCTAAGAAGACTTCATTCATGGAATCTGTCTTATTAATGATAAATGGTAATCGAAATACGTGCACGATAAAAGATCTTGACTTATAGAGAGATAACGCGAAATGAAAATATTACGTGCATTTATCTGTCGCTGTTGCTGGATACCCTCGTTCGTATAATCGAATGCTTCGTTAATCGGTACACTAATAATGGAATATTCTGTTAATCGATATTCGGATAATCGGTTCTCCGATAATCGAGTCTTTACTGTATTATTGTTTCTGGTAGTAGGTTCCATACAAGAGATTTACAAGTTGTTTTCTTTGCAATGTAACGCCAATTTATTGGATAAGGAGGCTACAAAATGAGACAAAGTTTATAACAGGCTTCTCAAGATTTGTGGGTTATTAACGTCACATAATATCCCACAAATATATTCAAATGTTTTACTTTTATCTTCTCCTTACACACGAGTGCCAAAACTTCTTGAAATCGGTATCACGCGATAGAAATCTATAATCCTATTTGATAACATCGAGTACTGACAAATGCTTTACTCATAACACGCGCCAACGACCCAGATAAAACACTCAACGTATAATGAATAAACAATGTAAACAATGGGAAATAGATTAAAGTGGAACACTCTGTACAGAGCACTGGAAGAGTCATCGAGGCTAGTCGTACAATACCAACCGTTATTTGCAATTTAGTTGCGCTAATTGTACTAGCTATCTTCAAAGATATTTTCTACTAGAATAGTTGAAAGTACCACAGCACTTCGGTTTCCCGCAAACAGATATCCACGTTTCACCACGAGAAATGTAATATTAACGAAGACGTACGAAAACTCAAACAATTTCAACGGGTTCTATTTATTTAAGTTGATGGACACCGATTTATCGACTCGATACAGAGAAACGGATAATAAGATTCGTGTTTACTCTGTCTTCCTGCCCCGCAAGATACGTGCATTTTCACTCGTCTGCCACGTACCGGTTATGCAAATTGATATTATGCAATTGCAGCGACAGATTTATCAACATTCCGTCACGACCGGGGGAGGAAGAACGCGTCCGATAACGATACTTTTCCTCGCGCGGATACGAAACTTCATTTTCCTTTATTATGATCTTACTTCCAGAAAACTTCTTGGATACACAGGATGGGCCGCACACTAATAAATACCCTTCGAATCTTACCAAATGTAAAAAATATGAGTCGCAAAACGTCAATAGTTTCGCGATAAAGACGAAAACGAGCGAGAAGACTTTTCTGGCGTTAAGCCTTATCGTCGCGAAAACTTGTCCAATCTTCTAGTCTCGCGTTTGAGCACCTTTGGGACACCCTATAAACAGCGGAGCCGTTTCGAGGTAGCCGATTTAAGCTATGCATTACCGCTACGTCGAGCTTTATGACGGCACTTCTGGGTTAGAGACTGCTGATTACAAGACCACGTGGCCGTCGCCGGAGCTCGTGTTTTTCGACTCCCCGCCCACGTAACGAAGGTCTTTTTTCGGTGGCCCCAGCGATATTCGGACGATATTCGGAACGAGCAAGATGAAACGAAGGCCTTGGCGTTCAACGGTTTTACACGGAAGCACCACTTCCTCGTGCAATTCCTAAAGACGTCTGATTTCCCACCGGATACGATGCTCGCTGCTTTGCGTATCCGCTCGTCTCTCATTGTTCCCGAACGAGATTTTTGCAATTTGAACGCCGCTGAAAAATGGTCTATTTTCGTTCGCGACGATAAAAACTGACCGCGCCGTTCGGATCGATTTAACCGCGGTTCGCGTCCGTGTAAAACTGAATAAAATTTACGTAAACACACGGTGGTTTTTCAATCATAGGCTTTTGTGTATTCTGACAACATCATTGACCATCGTTTATTCAAGGCGTCGACGTAGAGTGACGCGGGGGATCGCGTCGCCTCACGATTTAATAAGATCTTTTATTTCACAAGATACTCGTAACACATTCGATAGTTTAAGAGCTTATATACAGTCAATAATAATTTTTCTAAATATCCTATAAGTAGTCCCCAATTGTTGAATTTGTTAAATACATTTCATTGCGTCGATGAGTGTATTTAAATGTGAATTGAAATTAGATTTTGCAAAATTATTTCATTTCACGATACGTTGATCTGAAAGTCTAGCTGATTGGCGACACGAGGCAAAATGTGCGAAGAAATTGCGTCGAGTAATATGATTGGCAATAAATAAGTAGGATTATGTAGGGATTCCCACCACAAATAGATCACTCATAGAATTTCTTTTTAACGATAAGTTCACGGTACACGTTGTAATAAAGAAAGCTAAATAAAAATTATTAAAACATATCAGTATGTTTACTTTATTAAATTATTTCGATATTATCCCAATTTCGTTGACTGTGAAGAATCCTAAGAAGAATCAAAGATCAATCGTTTCAATAATTCCATCGGTGTTATTCACCGATCGAAGATGAATTATCTCTGCGAGACAATGCCATTAGTCAGAGGCTTGCACGATGGACAATGTTTTTTCATTGATCGATGCGTTAGTTGTAATTCTAACAAGCGATCCCTGGGCACACTCCATTTGCTGCGACGGAAGTATGCATGGACAGTTCATACGTATGCATGTGAGCGCATAAATCGGCCTCGACGTTCGTCGGAATGTACTCCGATTGCTTATTCGAGGCGTGGATGCCAACTATACCCTGATTATGCAAATATTCGGCGTTAATAACGTTAACAATGCCGGTAACTTCATGCATGCGTGGATCCCCGTGGCTCGATTAAATCTCGGTGCCTCTAATTCAACGAGAACGATATTCAACTATTTTCGTGCACATCGTACTTCGATACGTACACCAGAGATGAAAGTGAGCTCGTAGAGTTTAGGAAAGTCGACAAAGGCAAACCGACACATGCCCCCTTTCCCGATTCTCCGAAGTTGCCCAAAGTAATTTCGGAAAGGCTTACATTTGCCTTCTCGTAACGTACATATCAATTGTATGAAAAAATTAAATGAAACTAACAATTTTTCGATTTATTATATTTGCCACCTCCATCTGTAGTCCATCATAAAGTAGCATATACTTTTGAAATTTCCAACGAGCCTCTGCTGATCACTGCTTACCACTCCCGATACTTCTGACAACGTAAAAAGGTTACTACTTGCTACTGCTTGCCTCTGCATGCCTCTGCTAGCCTCTGCTGACCACTTCTGATATATCTGACAACGTATAACGATTACCACTGGCTACTGTTTGCCTCTGCTGGCCTCTGCTGAGCAAAATTTCTATCGAAATTATTTGGGGCAGAGCGTGTTTAATGTTTTGTGACGCGCCTATTAAGAATTTATACAATGTCACGAACATGACACACCTGCAACGCGTTAGGACGTCTTATTTTAGCTTATCTTTATAGTTTGAAAGGTAAGCGTCGAGAATTTCAATCAAATCGTGTACTAATTCGCCGCAACTGTTTATAGAACGGGTCGATGAAAATGCATAGTTAAAGAACGACCAATTCTTATTACTTGTATCGATTATAGATGCACGAAATGGTATCTAAGGTATGACCGATATGACTCCGGCCATAAGTGCCCTTAGGTTAAAGGCGCAATTAAATATCGTTATTCATATACTTCTCCGATGTTCTTCGATGACGCTTTATTTTAACTCATAAATTGGAAATGATTTTCCGAAAGCAGTTACATCACAGATACATTACGCAATGAAGTTTCGTTGACATTTCATCGACTCTTTTTATCCGCGATATCTTGTTTTCTGCGTATAACAGGTTGCGTCAGCAGAAAATATGGATTATTAACGAATCTATTTCTGGGTATTGCGACATATCAAGAAAAGTGATCACAGTTCCCTAATTCGACTCTGATACTAAAAAGTAACTTCGTTCGTCGTAAACGAAGCAGAAGAACAATCTGAGTCAGATGTCGATTCACGAGCCGATCGTCTATCTTTTCTCTCTTACATATTTTTCCAGTGACGTGTGTTTTATTTGTCAGTTACACTGTTCCTTAATTGGTTGTAAGTACTGCGCTAACCGTGGATCGTCATGCTACGCTCTCAGAGATGCGCAATAGTCCAATTGGTTCAAAAATGATACGTGAACCATTAAGTATATCATTTTGCGGGAACTACAATTACTTTAATACCTAAATCGATGAATATCGAGTAGCCGCAATGAGTAGAAAACGATATTTTCTTAAAAACCAGCTTTAGAATTTCCAATCGTGATCCTCGACTATTTCTCAATAATCTCTTCGAATAATTTTCGATAGAAATGAAAAATTGGCAGAATATACGATAACGTCGCTTCGACCATTCGCGACAGCTACTATCTCGCCAGCACGTGGCCTAACTGACAGCTGGTTTGTGTTGACCGCGAGTCGCCATGACGACTGGAACGATCGCCACGCGACAAGGGCAAACACACGGTCGGCGTTTCGTGGAAACTCCATAATGCGTCTGTGATCGTTTACGGATGCGTCCGCGACACGTAAAGGTAAATTGCAATCGCGCGAAAAAACAATGGTGGTGCTCGACAAACGTAGATCGTTGATAGTGTCCACCGCGGGCCATTTCTTCGGCGTATCTCTGACGGACGAGGAGACCATCGCCAATGGCCAATCGGTGCTGGACAATTTCCTGGACAGAGCCACGTGCAGAACCCTCTGTGCACAGCCGGCTGACGACGAGGACGACCAGACACGATTGGAACTGAGCAACGAGCTACCTGTCGGCAGAAACACGTTGGTCTTCTTCAAGGTAAAACGAAAATTCCAAATGGAATCTCGACTGGTCTTGGAATTTAACTTCGAAATTTCAAAATTGATATTATCGATAGATCGAGATATTGATAAATAATATCCAAGTATGTAGCGAATAGCACAGAATACTTAGAAATAGTTTCGTTAACAATTTAACCAGCGGTTATCAAATCAGCGCTCTGTAGTAAAAGTATTTGGATACTAATATAGTCTCGAGTTCGATTGCCTTTCTTTACGAGAAATACTGTCGATTTTGACAGTTGACAGAGGCACCGGTGACGGAGGAGAATTTTCACGAGCTCGTTCACGTGACATCCACCGGAAGCGACAAAGGATCGGCGCTGATCGAGGCCCTTCGACAAGTATGGGCTCCCACTCTTCGTTCCTCCGGGCTCAGTTCGACGTATTTGAAGAAACTGGAGGAGAATCTTCTCGGTTCGTCGGATGCAGCTTCCGTTCAGGAGGAAGAGGATCACTGGAGGAAGAAATGGGAGGAAGCGAATCGTTCCCACGACAGAACGATCTACGCCGAGGCGGTAAAAAGTTTGAAGAACATCAGGGCGGAACTCGAGAGCGCAGCGGTGGCTAGGTACCCTAAAAATTGAAACAAATCCCAGCGAACACGGCAGTCGGTTTACGTAAAAGCTTCCCAATACATTTCGAATCTTCCCGAAATAATGGCCTTCTTGATCCCTTTCACTCTCTGTCCGTCCAATTTTCATTTCTTTAGAGATGGGTTGATCGGGGTGGAGGATGCCGTCGAGGCAGTTTCCGGTTACGTGGACGATTTGTGGAAATTAGGGGACCAGGTGTACAACGAGGAACGCATGAGATCCTTTTTGAATATCGTTGGAGACGAAGTGGTGTCTGTTGTGAGAAACGTGATAGACGAGGTAATTGAGAAATATCGCAGTCAAGGAATTTATTCATAATTCGAGTATGAATTTATTTATGAAACAGATGCGTACTGTGGACGATCGAGTGAAGGTGGAAGCGATTTCGACCGGCGCGAGTATTTGTGAGAAATGGACGAACATGGCGGAACAGTTCACCACGCTCTTCTGGCCCCATCATTCCGTTCATCCCTGGAAGGGCGCTAGTCACATCCCGGAGAGATGTTCTCGTATCGGTGTACGACTCAGGTATCAGAATTGGCTCTTCCTCTTCCTGGCACCGCGGTTTTTACCAATCTTCGTCATCTTTAGGCAGATTGCCGAGTTACGCGCTCAGTATCGACAATTAACCAGGCTACTGACAGCCAGCGAAAGATCTGGACTTGGCACGGATTCCTTGATGCAATACTTCGACGATGTTAGAGGTATCCTCTTTATTCGTTTATTTATTTTACTAGGCGTCGAAGTAACATTTTTCCCCCAATAACTTTGCAATCGATAAATGTCGTCAGTCGTCTTCGACGACGAAAGGAACACCGACTGGAATCGACTGAGAAGAAAGGTCGAGGAGGGTTTGGTTCCCGCTGAGGAACGGGTCGCCCAAAAACTGAAGTCCCAAATCGCCGATGCCACCACGCCGAACTCGCTGCTCGCCGAATTTCGACGCTACTTCGAATTAATGAAAAGGGATGGTTTGAAAAGAGCCCTACGCGGAGAACGGGAGACCTTGCTTTCCGCGTACCGGGACCTCATAGGTAATTGGAACAGTAAATCTGAACTCGACGGGATGAGACTTATTCTATAATTCGTTAAACATAAGAAAGCTGCCTGGCCGGGCCGGACACGGGGGATCTCTTAGACAGTCCCAGAATACTCCAAGAAGTTCAAGCTGCCAGGTCGTCGGAAACGAGGCTGGAAAGTTTAAGCAAATTAGGGAAAGAGCTGCTCGCTGATCTTCCCGGATACGAGGAAATCTCATCAAAAGTAACGACAGCTCTGAGAGACGTCGAAAGGAAACGGCAAAGTTTCCTCGAGGCTTGGGTAACTTTTTTAATCATTTTATATGCGCTCTATACGTCTCGAGAAATCGATTCTTACAATAATACGCTCGAAACTCGTTTCTTCTTTCTTGCGAATAAAAATTCTTAATACCGTAAACGTTTGATTATAAATCGATTGGAATATTTATGGGAAATTAAACACTGTTGGAGCGTTCGTTCAACAGACGGAGGAGACGAAGGACGCTGTGGTGAGAAGAGAATTGTCTCTGGGCACCGATTCCGCGGTGGTGGAGTTGACTGGGACTAGTATGATGCGAGTGACGTACGATCCAAGGCTGATGACTCTGATAAGAGAAGCCAGGGCGCTTTCGAGCCAAGGAGTAGAGCTTCCTAGGGAAGTTAGAGACCTGGTGGAAAGGGCAGGTGCTCTGGCGGGTCGTGCACGGGCCCTTCAGCAGGTCGCGACCTTCCACAATACTATTGGCGATCGCATGGTGCCATCCCAGAGACCACTGATGCTCACAACTGCCCTCGAACTGGCTCGCGCTGTAAAAGAACAATCCGGAGTCGTTTGGTCCGATCCTCTGGCTGTTGACGCTTACACCGCCAGGCTGAAGGAATTGGTAATTTACCACAATGATTGTTATAGTACCTCCTAATGGACGAAATGCAGAAATTGGCAAAATTTTCTGCAACTAATTGATAACTGGACTTCGATCGTAACTTGCTTCGTCGTTACGGAAGCTTAAAAATCTACTTTTTATTTTGCATATTTTATACATTGCAAGTTTTACGTATTAAAACTATTATATTTTCTCTCGTACACTGCTGGGTTTTCAGTACAATAATTAAATTTTTGCGTCAATAATCGCATGGAACTTTGAACGACGAGTACGTGGAACAGTACATCGTTGAATTGGTAAAATATTTAAGAGAATTTCAAGAGCACCTTCGTCGTTATTAACGCAGGTGAGAAAGTTCGCGCAGCAGAATTCCGAGCTGGCCGCTAAGCACGGCGCGTTGCGAGACCTGGTGTCGAATTTATTAAAAGGGGAGACTGTTAATCTAATTGGGAATCAAAACGCTTGGAAGGACGCCCTGATGAGCATGAGAACTATCGTCGACACCGTGGAAGCTGAATACGGAAACACGAAAGCATGGAAACTGCACTGGGACAGACAGCTGCTCAAAGCACTGGACGTAGCTTACAGGCATGAGAAACAGAATTTAATATAACAGAATATTTCCTCATGTTAGACTAGATTTCGTCGCAATAAAACAAACGTAAAAAATTACAATAGAAAGAAAGACTTTTCAGTAGAATTGAAGCAGGTCGATGAAAAATTGTTCGCACCGATGAAGAGTTGTTATTCTGGCCAGTCAGTAATAATGAAGCGCGTAGAATTGGTTTCTAATGAATTTCGAATGTTCTTGAAACTGTTTCGTCCGCGATAATGCGCAATTTTATTTTTTTGCAGAGGCGCTCTGCCGTCGCTATTGAAGAAATTGCCAGATATTAAAGTGGAGCTGACGTTTCGGGACGGATCTTTGCAATGGAGGCCGCCTCTCGAGGAGATCCGCGCGAAATTGTACTCGGCGATACGTCGATCGCTTTCGATCCCGATGAACTTCAGGGGGGTCGGGGACGCGGCCGATGCACACTTCGGTGATCTGATTCAAAGAAACGGCTATCTGTTCGGCGGCGTCTACAAGCAGGCCGAAATTGCTCTTTCCGCTCTGGAAACGCTCAGAATGAAATGGCTGCATCTGGCGGCGCCAGCGAAAATTGACGTTGCTGAACGGTACGGGGCCGGAAAATTATGTTACAGGGGCGGGAACGTATTCAGAAATTGCGTACTCGATGCACTGTTTATTCGCTCTGGCGATTTTACATCGTCTTATTTCAGTAATGAAAACTCAATTCGCAGTAATATATTTAATAGAAGCGAAACAATAACGCGCAGAAATATCTCTTTCTTTCGTTTATTATATAATATTATGTTTAATAATTCTCTGAAACGAGCAGACTGAAGGGACGCTCGCCGCAAGAATGGACGAGGGCTTTCAAAGACTCCAAACAATGGGCACAAAAGGTTAGCTAACTTTACTTTACGTAATTAGTTCGCCAGTTTCACGCGCGGTTAACGAAAAATCAGGTTGGCAAACTGCGGGGAAGCGAGGTGAGAATTTGGTGCGTCAGCGTGGACACGGTGACGACCAGGAACGACTTGGAATCGGCTACCCGTCGATTCTGGGAACGTCTGTGCTCCGATCTGAGGGTGGAAGCCTCGTCGAGGCTGGTAGCCATCGTGGAGTTCCTTTCTTCCGCCTCGAAGGAACTGGAACGTAGACCTCGAAGCGTGGAAGAAGTTGGATTGGCTTACGAGGCACACGAACGAATCCAAGCGCAATCGTCCGGTATGGCTGAAGAGATGGAAGCCATTGCTGGACTTTCCAAAGTATTGGCTGCCTGGACCAGCGAGAATCTCGAAGGTAATCCACGGATACAATCAACGCAAGAATCAAACGGTGTCAATAAATTTTATTTTTTTCCTTTCAATTCAATGATTAATTTCATGAATAAGCACTCTTACGATATCTCGTATACAACAGTTTTTAATTTCCTTAGATTTATTTATGGCAAGTTAACGACGAAACATTTCTATAGTACGACATGGACTGATTTCCACGAACCCACTGTATCCTTTGAAGAGGCATTGGAAGTGTTACCGTCTTTGAGAAACATATAACTGAGATTGTTAAACATACTGACATAGATATTTAACGACCATTCGCACAGCAAGAAGCTTTAAAACCTGTTCTCTGGAACATAGGCGAAAATAAGATATTACATAATACATTATAAGTAAGACTCCCACCCATGTTTCTTTCTGAAATTAGTTGGGGTTGGAGTCTACGACGATGGTGGAATTACGTAATATCCTCACCCTCATCAATATTTCAGAAGCTAGGTCGTAGATGTCGTATAACTCCCTCCGACTTCAAAATTAGTAAGAATACAATTTCAAAGAGTAAATTTTATAACATTCCACGGAACAAGAAGCAGGAAAAAGAAAATTACATCTACAAGCAAAGAATTACAGTGTACAGTTTTTTTTTTCTGGAAAGTGCGTAGGATTTTGGGGGGTATGTCTATTGACAAAAAATGATTGTAATTTACCCCTGTAACTAAAAATAATTTTTCTGGAACGATCTGAAAATTTTTAATTTCACCGAAAAATTTCTCCGCCCACCACCTGTCGATTTTTCTTAAAAATTTGTTTTTGACAATTAAAATAGGTGTCAGCACAGCGTACACGTCCTGGCAAGACCTGACTGATCGTTTGGAGCGTCACAAGGCGGTCGTAGCCCGCGAACTCGAGGACGCCAAAGTGAATCTTCGTCACAGAACGGTGGCTCTGCGAGACGAGCTGGAAAGATGGCAAACGAAATGGTCTTCCAAGCCAGAAATTCTCGCCCTGGACTGGATCATATCCATGAGGGAGAGATGGACGAACTTGAAGGAGCAGCTGGACGCTCTGAACGTCGACTGTCGAAGAGTCGAGCTGAGCACCGACGACATTTTGGAGAACAACGAGGAGAACATGAAGAAGCTAGAGCTACAGCTGGACGTGGAGGAATCCAACTGTCGGTTTCAGGCCGAATTTTTGGAGGAACTGAAGAACCAAGAGGAGGAAGAGTGGACGGTGGCGAGACGGAGGTTGCCCAGGCTTCACGATTGGTTGGATTCCTGGGAGAGTAGAATACGCGTACAGCTGAAGGATCAATTCAAAGACGAGTCGATGGATCGCAAGGATAGCATAGAAATGGACACGTCCGTTGGCAGAAAGGTACGCGAGGTCAGAGACGCCATCGAGTGGCTGCAGCTTCTCCGTGGGGACGAAATTGCGGAGGAACATTGGGGCGAATTGAAGCCGCTTCTGAATTTGAACGACGTCAGGAACGCGAGGGATATTACCTTGGGCCATTTGCTCCATTCCGTGGGGAAGATCCAGGAACACGCCGAGAAGATAAAGGTGACGATTAAAGGTTTAATTGCACCTTTGATCCCGCTCGAGATTGCAAAACGCGACAATGAAGACTGTAGCCAAAGTGGTTGCGGTTCGAGGGAGCATTTTGGATGCTTTATTTATTTTGCGGACGTTTCAACGAGAAATAAATTTTTAAATGGAAATGCTTGATGTTTCCCCTTTCTTTCGCGGACCCTTTAATTACGTTCGCGTGTACTTTGCTCCCAGGAAACAACGAAAAGAGCCGCGGCAGAGAGCGGTATACGCCAAGGGCTGATGGAACTCGAATCCTGGGAGGCGTCGGCTCATTTTCAACTACAAGATTCAAAGGACAGCAAGAACGCTAATATCCTTCTCGTCGAGGAATATGGAACCCTGTTAGCGAGAGCGGGTAAACCGTATTTTTCTATTTCAGAAACAGCCCAACAGGCTTTCGTAATTTACCGAGAGAGAGAGGCACGCGGTAAACTAATTACGTTCAACGAAAAGGTGAACTGAGACTGCTGTTGGAGGGCGCGAAGGGGGCGGCTGGCTACGAAAGGTTTGCTGCCCGCGTGGCTCGTTGCGAAACCGGACTTTCGGAGGTCGAGGAGAGAATAAAGATCCTGAGCACCATTCAGAGGAAATGGGTTTACTTGGAACCGGTTTACGAAGGGGGCGCAGCCCCGAATGACACTGGGAGATGGTCCAGGGCCAACAAAGAATTCAGGTGATCGATGGGGACATTTCTCATGAAAATTACGCTTTAAAAATAGCATTAAATAGATTTTTGTTCAAATGAATACTCAAAGGTTGCTTATAGTAATTCGAACAAACATTCAGGTATCTCATGGGAGAGGTGTCTCGCGATCCGAGGCTGTCGTCCTTAAGGAGACTCCCTATTACAGCCTTCACAAATTTGAAGGATCTCCTCGATAGATGTCAGAGAAGCCTCGACGAGTACTTAGAGGTATCACAGAGTCTGTTTCAGACAAATATTTCGCCCGTGTAGTTGCAGAGATCTGGCTGTGACTGTTATAATGCACGTTATCGTATTCTACTTGAACTTTCAGGAGAAGCGGTCGTCCTATCCGCGGCTGTATTTCCTAAGCGACGAAGATCTCCTCGAATTAGTGTCAGCCAACGGCCGCGGTCTGGAGGCTCATCTACCAAAATTGTACCAGGGCGTCGGATCAATAATAAAGGACGATAATGGACTGACGGCCGTTGTATCGCCAGAAGGTGAAACGTTGCAGTTATCCAGCCCCGTTGACCTCCGCGATCCATTACCGCGATGGCTGAGCAATCTCGAGGAGGGGATGAAAAACGCTCTTCGTCAAGGCTTGGAGAAATGCTTGATCGACACTACGCCAGACCCGTCGTCCTATCCGACTCAAGTAAAAACATTTTTCGCTCCTCTGTATAATTATACCCCTTAAGAGATTTCTTGAAGCATCCGCTTCCGAGTTCTTTAGAAACTGTAACTGAACACGACGCCTGTTTAGGTTCTGCTACTGGCGGAAAGAATTCGATTTACGGAACGATGCGAGATCGCGTTGAAGGAAGGTCGCTCGTCTTTGAAGAACCTCGTCGAATATCTGGAGACACAAAGGGCTAGGTACAGGGGGCTGGAGGATGCTGGTGACAAATTGACTGCTTTGAAAGCGCGCGGCCTCCTCCTTGACACTGTTCACCACCTCGAGGTAGCTAGGAATCTTCTGAATGTCACCCTGCAGGAGGAGAGCACCGTCTGGGCCTGGCAGAGGCAGCTCAGGAGCTACAGAACCGTAAGATTCTCCCAGCATTCTTTCGTTTCTGATCATCTGGCGCATCGTGGGTGGTATGTACGGTTATTGTTTTTCAATTGTTTGTATTTGAATTTCCAACAAGGAATAAATATTATTGTTCCATGCAGAGACCATTTTATATAAACGGATACGTTTGGATATCTTTGAAATTGCTACTAACATTAAAAAACAGGGGTTCGAAATATTAGGTCGTCCCAGAACTGAGCCATCGTTAGAAGTGGCAAAGCTTCCCCTTTAAAATGGTTTTTGGTTTTTGACGATCCGACTTTCCGTTTTGTAGATATCGTAATTTAAATGAAAGGGTAATTTCTCAATTTCCATCTCGCTGTCCGCCTTACAAAAGTCCCGGAAAACGTATTCAAAATACTAAAACTTTAGACGCGTGTAGTTCCGAAACTACCAGCGTTTTATCCATTATTGAGCCACTGTTGGTAGCAGCAAACCTTCCCCTTTAAAATGGTTTTTGGTTTTTGACGATCCGACTTTCCGTTTTCGAGATATCGTAATTTATGTAAAGGGGTACTTTTTCTAATTCGACTATCTCTGTCTTCGTCTGACGTGTTGCGCGGGACCTCTCTTTCTCGCACGTGACTCGCGACCGAGTGGCCGAGTGACCTAGTTACTTCGAGCACGTGCCGGTCAACGACCTTGACAAGGCCGTAGTAAGAATGTAAACAAACGCTTCGGACCCTTATATCCCCGAAACTAGCCTCCGCATCGACTTGAAATTAAAATCGCTATATCTCCGGAACTAATAAAGCTATCGACTTGTTTGAGCGCTCATTTTAAAGGACATTTCATCCCCTATTCAATGAACATACCAACTACTATAATTTTTGCTATCTTCTATGTTGTTTTTGAACTTTAATTATCAAATAATTTTCAAAGTAATAAAATGTTACTTACATTAAATGTACAACCAACAAATTATAATATAGAACGTTTAAAAAACAATGTCTGCTCGTTTACTAGAAAACACGGCACGAAACTGTGGGACGACCTAATAAGACAAATACGAACCAGCACAAATATTTGTAGTCTTTCTAACCGGTGCATTTTCCACGAGCACGCGCTTTGCTAGAGTTAGGGGGTCAAGTGTATGGTAATTCAAGAAGCGATTTGTTCCCGTAGAATAAAGGACCGGTAGTGCGTTGTGCCGGGGCGGAATTTCCATACCGTTTCGAGTACCAAGGGGCGGCAGTAGGTTTGGTACAAACTCCGTTGACAGAAAGGTGTTTCCTGGCTCTCGCTCAGGCCATGAAACTCGGCTTGGGCGGCAGCCCAACCGGGCCAGCTGGAACTGGAAAGACCGAAAGCGTCAAAGCGCTGGGAGCTATTCTTGGCAGGCTGGTTTTAGTTTTCAATTGCGACGAAGGTAAGAATAAAACGGTCGCGAATCGATTTTTAAGGTCTAGAATCTAACACCCACTACTTCTACGCGTTACAACATTCATTAATATTTCTTGTCAGTATATCTCCTGAAAAGAATTCTCTATAAATCGAATTAAAAACGAATTTCCGTTATTGAGAGGTTATTTTCTTTGATCTCTCTGTCAAAAGAATCCGTACACCGCTGATTACAAAAATGTCGATATCAGGAATGGACGCTGGTAGCATGCGACGGATCCTAGGTGGTCTAGCACAAGCTGGTGCATGGGGCTGCTTCGACGAGTTTAATCGTCTCGAAGAGGAGACGCTCAGCGCCGTGGCCATGCTGGTCAGACCTCTTCAAGAAGCTGTACGCGACGGTGCATCTCAGGTTTTGTTGGACGACCAGAAGGTGAACCTTGACCCGCACTGTTGCGTGTTCATCACGATGAATCCCGCCGGGATCGAGTACGGTGGACGTCGCAAGCTTCCGGATTCCCTGGCAAGACTCTTTAGACCGATCGGAATGGCTCATCCCGACAGATCTGACATAGTGAAGGCGTTGTTGGAGTGTGCTGGATTTTTGGATGCTTCCACCCTCGCGGTGCAGCTCGTAGAAACGTTGGACACCGCGGAGATCCTTCTTTCCAATCAGCCACACTACGATTGGGGCCTCAGGGCCCTCAGATCCGTGCTCGACGCGATTCCCACGGGAGCTGACTTGGACGAGACCAGCAGGTTGCTTTTCTTCCAATTCTTTTGGAAATACTTTGTCGGGAAGTCTCGCGCTCGCGTTGATTCGTTTATTTTTGCAAAAACTGTCGACTGCTTCCTCACAGAGTCTTCTCACTCTGACTTTTAGATTAGTGGCTGCGATCAGGGCTTCCACGTTGCCTAAATTGACGGAGGAGGACACGTCCAAGTTTCTATTGCTGTTAGAAGACGTTTTCCCGAGAGCAAACCCCTCGTCCTCCACTTTCATCGACAGACGAGATCTACAGGCTGCTTTGCTCGAGCTTTGCGAGGACCAAGAACTGGGCAAGGAGATCGCCAACAGGTGCATTCAATTGAACGATCAATTGAAAAGCAGAACCGGCGTGGCGATCGTCGGTCCGCCAGGAAGCGGCAAAACGACCATCAGGAAACTGCTGTGCGACGCGCTGACGAAAATTGGGGAAACGGTCGTCGAGTTTCACGTCTATCCTGGCGCCATGCCGAAATCCAGGCTTCTCGGGCGCATCGATCCCGAAACCAGGTAGCGTCGTTAATATTTCTTTATAAATCAACTTCGTTATTCCCTCGAAAGCATCTCTTAGTTACCAGGAAAATTATTCCTGAAGACAGTGCATTTAAAAAATGATTTCAGCCATTGCTTTAGCAAATGACTGAAAACAAAAATAAAATAAGAAGGGACGTGGCAGTAATTTCGAATCGACGGAAACAAATTTCTTGCAAACATAGCGCAGTATTTCTTGAAGAGGATATATCTACCGTATCTCCATCAAGCGTTGTCCTGGGAATCCCGAAAATTAGTCCAGGGTGACTAATGACCAAAGTGATGCATGGCTGTGCACGGACACATGTACCATACCGCTGTCCAGCGATTCTAGTTTATGATGTTTGATTGATAATGGGTCTGGCGTGCACGAGAAACAAATTGCCCTTGATTCGCGTTAGTTAAGGAAAATGACAATAGCGTAAACGTGACGCAAAGACGATCATCGGTGGCCAAAGTTTATAGATATATCTTTAACTTGATTTTGCTATTTAATAATATTTAATTCATCGTCTGGACGAATCAGGGAATGGAAGGAAGGTTTGCTGTCGAGCTTCGTGGCATCCGCCGGTGAATCGACGACTTGGATTATCCTGAACGGCGACGTGGAACCCGATTGGGCCGAGGCTCTGAACTCTGCTCTGGACGACAATCGATTACTGACCTTACCTAACGGAGTGGGCGTGAAACTTGGCTCTGGAACAAAGTATACTTCTCACCACTTATATATTACTTTTCCTTCTCCACTCGTTTTCTGTAATATAAACGCGTCATAAACAGGCATTGAATTTTTCACTGTCCGGAACAGACGTTCAATGCACTTCACCACAGGCTACCGAGAGATTAATAAAAATCATGAAACATTAGGAATAATAATGAACGCAATTTTACTACGAGGGTTTCCACAAGGCAAGGGGTCGATGCTTCAGATTTAAACGTTACAATACTATTCTGTGTGCATTTATTTCTAAACAGGTTCATTTTCGAGACCCATAAGCTAGCCGGCGCGAGTCCAGCCACCGTTTCGCGATTAGGGGTGGTTCATTTGGGCTCGACTAGCCCCAGCTCTTTGCTGGTATCGTCGCGATTGAGAGGACTGCCAGAGGCGGCGAAAGAGCTCGCAAATTCCCACCTTTGTCCCTGTATCGAGGAATGCTTGAAGATCAACGCTGACGTTTCCTCGGCCTCCGGTTTAATGGACTCCGCGTGTTGCCATTTAAAGAGCTCTCGCACTCACACCGCGGCTTCTCACGCTCTACTTGCGTCTTTGTGCAGCCAGATAGGGGATGAAAGGCCCAGAGATGATTTGGCACGTTTCGTTTACCAATCGACCGACTGCTGGTAAGCGTTTTGTACACCTTTGCGTTTTTATTTGCCTTCATCGACGTTTTCCCGTCGCGAACCGAACTTCAAACCGAGTCAAACTTGTTGCAAATCGCGCGGCTGTGCGTTCCAAAGTGATACGGATTAATTATACATTTTTTATAACAGTTTTAATAGATCGTTTGTACATCCTGTGTACGACGAAAATGTTATGGAAATATATAAATACACAGAGACACTAATCTAGATCATCGTGCAAATAAGATTAGTATCATTACCCTCGTTACACGTTATAAATATTCATGTTCCTTGTTTGCGTCAGTCGTCATCGATATAATTTATTATGCGTTGCTTGTCGTTTGCGTTATCCATATTATCTGTTCTATATCCTCGTGAAAATGATCAGGGATGAATAATTAAGAGAAAGCTAATTTATTGTAATGAAACCAGTTCATTATCGACGGATCGATGGGAGTTGTATTTATTCGTCCACTATTATTTGAACAGAATTTCGTCTCTTTGATGGATTAATTTGTTGTCGTTCGAAACCGCAGGTGTCCAAATCCGCAGAAACCAAACGCTGTGCTGTACAATGGGGATACGGATCGATTGGAGGCTGTCGGTGACGCTGATCAATCAACGGACACGGACGATGGTCCTGTTTCGCTGTCAGGTATCGCGATACTATGGATCCGTTAAATTTAAAAGTTTTTCCTGAAACGATAAATATTACGTTTGCAGGCACTATGAAGGGCGCCTTGTCGTCTGTTTTGCCGTGGATCAGGGACAACCAACCTATTATGATAAGAGGTCCAGAGGGCTGCGGGAAAAGTACCCTAATATCCGTTATACTCTCTGCTGTTAGAACCAACGAGCCTTCGACTTTGATAAAAGGATCCTCCCTCTACGGGCCTCAGGATTTGGTCACGAAATTGAAAAGGGGCTGCGTGCAACTGAACTCATCTTCTCACGGGAGGATCTACAAGCCCAGAAGCGGATCCAGAGTTATTCTGATTTTGGAAGATTTGCATCTGGCTTCCAAGGACCTCCAGGTGCAGTCGCTAATAATTAATTCTCAGCAAAGAGTAGAAAAAGAGGGAAAGCAGAAAGAAATACATTATTTATTTAAATTAGGAGCTGGTGCGAGAGCTGCTTCAAGAAGGAGGATTCCACGAGGAAGATCTTGAATTCGCCATAGTTCCTTTGACCATTGTATGCACAGCTGATGCTACCACTAGATTGCATCCCAGGCTGGAAGCACTTTTGTCCACTCGCTATTTGCCGTGAGTATTTTTAAATAAACTTTGACTCGATTCCCATCGCGGTTTCGTTTATTAGTTCGTACATCGTCTAAGATACAATTTTATTTCGTCGAATTCAATTCTTTAAGTACGTTTGCTGTTATTTGATTTTTTTCGCGCGGTTGCACGTTTTGCATCGTAGGTATCCAAGCGCAAAGGACATCGTAGCAGTGTTGGAGCTGCACCTGAGAAACTCCTTGGTGGGGAACGATGTACTGATCGAATCCTGGATCGCCCAGACGACGCCCTCCATGCTGGAAGCTTTCGAGTTAATGAAATCCTCCCGTGGCTCGTCCATCGAGTGGACTCCCAAGGATTTGATTTCCTGGGCAGACAGTTTAAAATACTATCCCACCCCGGAAAATGAAGCAGACATTACGCGTCATTTGTTGGACGCTGGACAACGGTTGTTCCATCCTAGGTAAATGGAAAGCTCTCGACGTTTGAACTCGTATCACAAATTTTTAGTTAAAATAACTTTGTTCAAATGGAACGTTACTATATTCATTTACTCCCAAAATCTCAAGATAGTAAACGACAGTTTTGATTAATTTTTGGGAGACATATTTAATATATTTTTTTAACCATCGATTATAATTTGGTCAGACTGGCATCGCGGGATCAGTCACGCTGGGAATCGATAGTCCTGTCGAAAGCACCGATGACACAAATACCTGGTAACGACGTGTACATATGGAAACTCGGGAATACCGGGTTATTACCGTTGGACGAGGAACAATGGACGAAGGAGATAATTAATGCTGCAGCGAGATGCGCCAGGGAAGGCGATCCCGTGCAAGCGTCGATTTCGTCTCACCTGTTGCGCACAGTGGCCGGTACGCGTATTAAATCGAGTTAATTTTATGTTATTTTGAAAACGAGCTTAATCCGGCGGCGATTTAATCCTATCGAACCACTTCGTAAATTTAACAAGATTACGCTCGTCGTAAACGTTCTTGCTGCAATCGACCTCCTCTCTATCCGCTTTATTACTAATTTCGTAAAATGAAATTCTGCATTTCCCAGCGATTGGAAATGGTCATAGTATTGATTTAAATCGCGTCCACTTTTCGTATATTAATTAGAATATGAAAAATTCAATTTCGAATTTTTCCCGAGGTCTGAGCTGGGCTTTCGGGACCAATCTGAGGGGCGTGATTTTAATTGGACGACCCGGAGCCGGAAGAAAGTCGGCCGTGAGACTCGCTGCCACCTTTTCCACCCTACGTTTGGTGGACTCCGGGCCTGGTACAGTATGAGATACGATTTTTCACGAAGGAAATTCATATTTTTGGAAAGATAAAGGACGGATTGTTCAGGGCGTGGTCGGGCCTCGATGAAAACCGCGGTTCAGGCTGCTGGGATCGACGGTGAACCGACTCTCCTCTTGCTGGAGGAGCACCACATGAGAGAGAGTGGATTGGCTGTTCTGGCGAGTGCAATAGTGTCAAGAGGAGAGCTACCAGGACTATTTACAGCGGAGGAACTCGACGGCTTAATAGCGCCATTGGCGGACGTGGCCAGGAGAGAAGATTTCTCGGGCACTTTGGAACAATACCTCTACCACCGTAAGCACCCAATCATGGCTTCTCGAAAGCGAAACGACCCTACATTCGAACGACAATAATCCCGCCATTTAACATCGCCTCCATCGCGATCCAATTTCATTCATAATATTCTCCTCTCTCGAGAATTAGAATCATTTCGACGAATAAATCGTCTATCGTCTTTTTAATCGTGCATACTTATTATTTTCAATGTAAACTGATGAGTTTATTACAGTGGCCTAGGTTCAAATATAGTGGAACTTTTACCAACGTCACATCGGTCAATGTCAGTTCGAATTTGCCTTCGTTTCGAACAAAAATATATACAGTGATAACTAGAGTGAAAATTCACATTTTTATTAGTAGAATTAATGAGACGAGAGCTTCTTAGAGGGTTGTCTCAACTCCTAAATACAATGATTTACTTACTTTAAATACTATTTTTACGTGTATTCTGTAGTTTTTTGAAAATTTAAATTGGTTTAGTGATAACAGTTGTGCCAAGAATTCGATCTTCTAGGAACAATAAAAAGAACAAAACACCCCAAAGCTAAAATTACCCAAACAACAAAAGTTCACGGAGCGTTTTGAAACATCCGTGGTCGCAGGTTTACGCAATTATCTTCGAGTTGCTATGATCGTGGACACCGGAGAAGTAAGATCGTCCTGGTTGGCGCGTTCGAGGCTCCTCAGACACTGTGCCCTGATCGGGCCAGGTCTGGGCAGCGAATGGTGGTCCTGGGAGGTTCCGTTGATCGAGCTGGCGAACCTTCAAAGCGGCATCAAGATCGACGACGCGGAGGAGACTCTGCCTGGCGTGAAGGCGATGGTCAAGGCTCATCTCCAGGCCCCGCGACAGCAACGAGCTCCGGCGCGGTTCTTGGCGATGGTGCACACTTGGAACCACCTGCGTGTCGCCTGGAGCGAAGAAATGGAGCAGAAGCTGGCCAGCCTTCAGGCTGGGATAGGTAGATTGAAGGATGCTGGCGGGCAGGTGGCCAAACTGGAGGACGAAGTCTCTAAGCAGCGGCAGGAGTTGGAGGTACCTTTCGAAGATCCACGTTTCATGTTATTTACATCGTCTCTTTTGAATTGTAATTGTACAGGCGGAACAAGGACGTGCAAACGCGGCTCTCGAGCAGATCACAGCCACCATGAGAGGCGCCACCGGACAGAGAGGAGAGATGACCAACTTGAAGGCTGAGACTGAACGTGAGAGCGCGGAACTGGCGCGCAGAAAGGTAAGAGTAGCGTTGATTTTTAGGAATCGTTGGTAGATAGTTGATCGTACAGGCGGATATCGAAGGGGAACTGGGCAAGGTCGAGCCTCTGGTCGAACAAGCAGCGCAAGCAGTAGCAGGCATCAGCGCTGACGCGTTGGCGGAGGTCCGTTCGTTGAGAGCGCCTCCAGCACCAGTTCGAGACGTCCTCGAGGGCGTTCTTCGATTAATGGGAATAAAAGACACGTCTTGGAACAGCATGAAGACGTTTCTGGCGAAACGCGGGATCAAAGACGAGATTAGGTGAGCGACCCTCGCTGCACAGCTTCCCGTACAAATACATAAAAGATCTTTCTGTTAGAACTTGGGACGCGAGGAGAAGCACGTCGTCCAGTTTGGACGCGGTTGCCAAGTTGGTCAAGGAGCGGCCGGAGAGCTTCGAGGAGAAAACCGCGAAAAGAGCATCCGTGGCAGCGGCTCCGTTGGCTGCCTGGGTCCTGGCGAATCTGCAGTATGGTCGGATCATTCAGCAGGTCGCGCCTCTCGAGAGGGAACAACGATTGCTGGCCGAGTACGTTACAAATGAAAGAGAATACTTCTATCGGTGTTTCTGTCAGGAGTAGTTTTTCGTTGAATAATTGAAAACTCAATTATATTTTGTACGATTTAATTTCCCCATATTTCCCTCGAGACCCGGATCCTTGGTTAGGCCAAGGGTTTTGTTAAAAAAAAATAACACAAGACTTATGAACTGCTTTCTGGAAATAGAAACCAAAGTAGTCCAATGTAAAGAAAGCTAAGATATTGCAATCATATCCACCCACGTTGGTGAGTGAACGTCTTTGACGCTTCCAGACGTCTGTCAGCCGCGGAAGCTCAGATTGGCAAGCTGGAAGCTGGACTGAACACCGTCGAAAGTCGCGTGGCACAGCTTCAGGAGGAACTCGCAGAACGTTCGAGAGGAGCAGCCGGATTACAATTGCGCGCTGAGGCCACTGAAGCGAGATTAGCAACTGCCAGAGCGTTATTGCAGAAGTTGGACACGGAACACAGAGATTGGCAAGCACAGCTGGAGGAACTGACTGACAGAAAAGAGAAACTGGACGTGGAGGCTGCCAATGTGGCGTCGTTGTTGGTGTACGAGGCATGTAGCAATTTAAGATTCACAAACTTCCATATCTTTTAGCGTCTACTCTTCACAATCTAATAGTTAATGCTTATTTATATGACTTCCCAATAATTTTCATAGCCGCCACATTTATCATTGGGTGCTTTTATAATTCAAATTTAATTCTTTACCTTCTGTATCGAGGTTTATCAGACTTTTCAACTATCGAATAATAAAGTTCAACCTTTGAAGAGTGGCCATAGAATTGCGGCGAACGGTGATGTTAAATAATGAATAGCAGGATCCCGGGAGGGAAGACAAATGGAAAAAGTTGGCGATCGAGCTATTGATCACAGAGCGAGAGAGATTGCTGTGGCGGGCGCAGGGTTTGCCAGCGGACACCGGAAGTCTCGTGGGTGCTTCCTGCGCCCTCAGGGGCCCGTTGGTCCCCATATTTGTGGACCCATCGGGAGTGGCGGTCTCGTGGCTGAAGAACAACGTCGGTTCCAGGATGGAGACCACGAAACCGGAAGACGCGAAATTTCTGACCACTCTAGAGCTCGCCGTGCGTTTTGGGAAACCTTTGTTGGTGGAGGAACTGGTCGACTTTCCCTCGATTTTATTGCCATTGTTACGTAGACGTCCTCTGAGGCTCGGCGAGCGAACTTTGCCGGCTCCGCAGGGTTTCAAACTTTTCTTGGCCACCAGACGCGACAAATTGGATGGCTTTCCGAGGGAAGTTGACGCGGTCTTGTTCAAGATCGCCCTTGGGGCCGGCTCGAAGAGCCTCGCCGAAAGATTTGTCGAAAGGGTGAGGAAAATTGAATCTCCGCGTCAGTTTACGTTAATAGTTACGGATCTTTGCTCGCTTCGCGTCTTGTTCTGTATTTTTTTTTTTCGTTCACGACGGTATTGGGTCGTTTTGAAATCGAAAGGATCGATGAGACGGTCAAGATTAATTACTTTCCCCCCGACAGGTTTTGTTGAAGGAGACGCCGGAGCTGGCGACGCAAAGGAAAGAGGCGCTGGAACGCGAAGAAAAATTATCAGGCGAACGGGACACCGCCAGATTGGATCTGTTGGCGCAGCTGGCCACCGCGAAAGGTCAAGATCTCCTCCAGGAGTCTGAAGGATCTCAGGGCGGGCTCTTGTCGTCGTTGGAAGCCACTCAGTCGAAAGCCAAAGAGATCGCGCTGGCCCTCGAGGAGAGTCGACGGAGCTTGGAAGACGTCACCAGGTAGACAAAAGTCTGTTCGACTGGTAACACAGTCGATAATTGAATCTCTTTAATTTGTTCAATTTGTCTCGGTCTTCCTTTTTACATGGATTAGAAAAGCACAGTATCAAGAACTTGTCATTATTTCTAATGCCTTCGATCCACATTCTCCTCGGTAAAAGAATTATTGAAACGACAATATAAAAGCACGTAAATACATCTTTTAGCGTCTACTCTTATATCACGTTTACATTTATATAGCGAAGTTTCAATTAGAAATGTGAACAAGTAGGAGATGCTCGTTTCAGGCCGCGCTCATTAACCGATGGCCAAGCTCGCGTGAAAACAAACCAACGAGAACTTCTTAGATTCGATAGAATCTGGTAATAAGATTATTCTCTGTTTCGTAAATTGAAAATCCCGAAGAAAGGGATCCGATACGACGATAATAAAGCAATCAAAGTCGCCGCGATAAGAGTACACGAGGCAATTCTGAAATAAGAGCCTCAGAAATAGTCTCGTTCATTACTTGATCGATCCCCGTGCTTTATCGACGCAGGGGGGACATATTTCAAACAAAAAGAGAAGATGGTTTGTTCCGATACGACCATTGTTTCGCTCTTCTCAGCGTCAGTTCGGTTATTTATCGGTCAGACAATGCACCATTCAATCGTTAGCAACGATTTTACCATAACGATCGTTTTTCACTGTTTTATTTTTCTGCAACTTTTGTACGTCCCTTCAGGAGAGCCAAGGACCACGAGAAATTAGCCAAATTCGCAGCTGGCTTGTACAAAACTGTGAAAGCCTCGACAGCCTTGAGTCCGCTCTACGTCTTTTCGTCGGAAGCTTTTACCGATATTTATTTGCAAGCGGAAGATTATAGATCCTCGATACTCTCTCAGGACAAGAAAGAACAGGATAAACTGATCGAAAAACGGCGAGTCACTAATATTTTACACACATTAAAAATATCCCATATCTGTTGTACGTTATTCGATCTTATTTTTCGACACAGATTAATAGGTTTAACCCTGTATTACTGCGCGAACGCCGTGTACAGAAAGCATCGATTACCCTTGGCACTGCAGCTGGCGCTTTCCTTGCATTCAGTGCCGGACATCGAGAGGAACTTCCTGTTAGGTAAAGTGGTATTGGACGATGACGAAGATTCCGATTACAGAGTGCCCGAGTGGGTACCCGAGGAACGCCGCCTATCCGTTCGAGCTTTGGTGTCATCCTTGCCTCAAGTATAATTCTCGATTCGATTTCATCAAGCATAACACCACTTTTCGGTTCGCGTGAAACGTTTCATTTCCTTGTAGATAGTCATAAGAATGAAGCCAGCCTGGCTAAACGACGTCAGCAATATTTACGCTGAAACCGGGCTGACCACGTTTCAGAAAATTTTGATCATAAAGACCCTTCGTCCGGACTACCTGCACACTGCTCTTTCGAAACTGGCTGCAGAAGTACTAGGTAAAATCGTTTCATGATCAAATATATAGGACTTGAACACAACTTTGAACCCTTAATAAATATATATTTCATAACTCTCAATTCCCTCAGAACTCTAATTTTCACTGGCCCTTGATTAAAACGCAGTCTGTTTCATAAACCAAACAACACTCAACCACACACTTATCATATAACAATATCCCACAAATATTTGTCGAAGGTGTGAAAGACTTGGCGCCTCCGCAGTGGTCTCTGGGTAAGGTGGCCGAGCAGGGATCGTCGAATCCTGTGTTGCTGCTCCTATCGCCTGGAGCCGATCCTGGCTCGGAGCTGAGATCGTTGGCCAACAACCAGGTTGCGTCTGCCACTGGGTTCGTGGAGGTGTCTTTGGGCCAGGGCCAAGTTGCTCAGGCTGAACTGGCGCTGGAAAGTGCTTGCAAGTAACGTATCTTCCCAATCTGATTTCAAACGTACGATTTCAACAGCTAACCCTAATGACGATCCAACAGAAACGGTAACTGGATTCTCCTGAGCAACCTGCACCTCGCCCTAAACTGGCTGCCACGTTTGGAAAGTATTCTACGGTCACCGATGTGCACGACCAACAAGAACGCTGCCACGAGGATCTGGCTAACCACCGAGGAGTGTCTAGGATTCTACCCAAGCCTGGCTGGTCTCTGTTTGAAGCTGGCGTACGAGCCGCCGGAAGGCGTCAAGAGGAACGTGAAGAGGTCCCTCCAGCAGCTCCAACAGAAACAGCAAAACAACGCGAACGTTCCCGGAAGCGTTCTGCTGTCCTGGCTCCACGCCACGCTTCAAGAGCGACGAAAGTTCGTGCCCCAAGGCTGGATCAGGCCTTACGAGTGGAACGAGTCCGATCTCGAGGCCGCCTACGAGCTGGTCGTCAAGAACATGTCTTCGAAGAAGGACAAGGACAGGGACGGAAGCTGGCAGACTGGCAGGGGGCTGTTGGACGTCGCAGTTTACGGCGGTAGGCTTCAGGACGACTACGACACGAGAGCCCTGTGCTCGATCATTCGCGACGTCTGGTCCTCCGCGGTGTTCGAGGGCCGCAGGAAGCTGGCTGGCACGCTGAGGGTGTCTGAAAGATCGTTCGAGGACGCGTTCAAGGCTTTGGAACAGCTGCCTGACAGCGACTCACCCAAAGAGTGCTTTGGACTGCCTGCTAACGCGCATAGGGCTTGGGAGAGGGGAGCTGCTGAGGCTGCCTTGTCGCATCTCAAAGGTCGAGTTCAAAATTCTTAGACATAATTAGAGATAATTAGGGGGGATTACTGATAGAGGAGAAAGCAGGTAATTTAAACGAGGCGCGGGTAAGGTCAACGAAGTGACAAAGCTGTGGTGTTGCCAGGCTCAATCCGCCATATTGGAAAAACTAGATCAGGGGACTCATTTATTATCACTCATTTGCTCTTATGCATACTTCACATGCCACGATAATTAGGGAGATTACTAATAAAGACACTAGGTAATTTAAATGAGGAGTATGTGGGGAGCATTCGGTACAGGTAAGGGCAACGAAGTGACAAAATTGGTGGTACCAAACTCGAATACAAGGTTGGATAGGACGTAAGTTTATATGAACTCTTTTATAGTTTTCATGCGTAGAATCTAATCCCACATGCTACGGGACAGCCTGTATAAGCATTTCAGATAATAATAGTTTCCGTTTGCGTAATTGTTCGCAGGTGTCCTGATCAAAGTGTCGGGCAGCGACGAAAGAAGCAAGAAGACGGAATCGCAGGTGCAAAGAGACCTGAAGGAGTTGATCGATCGCAATGGTTTTATATTTGGATCGTCCAGCATAGAAACCGACAGGAAGAAGAACACGCTGGAAAGTTTCTTCGTCGACGAAATGAATTTGACTAAGAAGACGCTGAACCTTGTTCGAGTGGACGTTGATATTCTACATTTCGAGGACTCCAAGGTGTTTAACGTTAATTGTTGTAATTTCCTTCTATGAAATTACAGGCATACAATGTTTTTAAACTGACTTTTTAGACCCCGACGCGCTGGATGAAAGAGTGGGAATGTGGGCCCAAAGAAATTTTGCCTTTCGTTAAAGGGCTAATGGCCAGGTACCAAGCCCTCGAGTCCATGCTGTCTATTTCCTCGTCCATAGTGAACATATCGCGACTGGCCAGTCCACGAGCGTTTCTAACTGTCCTGAAACAACACACTGCGAGAGAAACGCAGCAACCTCTGGAAAACCTTCGACTTCGCGTGAATTGGTTGGAGAATCGTAGAAACGAGGAGTGGAAGATATCGTTTATCATCGAGGGGCTTCTGATATCAGGTAACTACGTTGATTACTTGAGTTTTAATAAATCGTACGTCGTATTAAATTACAAATTGAACATAATTCCAAGAGTCAGAATGGGGATTAATTTTCATCCACGTATGTTAAACGATGTTAAATGTTTGAAACGCAGGTGCATTAATAGAGAACGGCACTTTGGTGGACCTGGACGCGAACGCGGCATCCGTTGCGGCTGCACCGAGCTGCCAAATTGCGTTCCTGCCCGAAAACTGTACACGGGATAGTTCGGACAACAAAGTAATGGGCGACTATTTGAGAAGCAACGATTCCGACGACACGCTGAGCATTCCGGTTTACGCGAATTCTCAAAGGGACATATTAATTTGCTCGCTTCCGGTCAAGTTTCACAGGGAGGAGCACGACGACTGGTTACGTAGGGGCGTTGCTTTTCATCTAAAATTAACTTAATTTATTCGAGCACCGATCGCGACAACAACGCGAATTACTGTTAAAATTTTTCCATAACTCAGTTTGCTATATTTTACTATTGATTTTATCTGTACTCGATATACAGACTGAATCATGTTCAACAGTATTAATTACACCTACGATTTTACTACAATATTAATCGATTTGTTACACACGTTTCTGTACTACCGTTGAAAATATATATTTTATCGCTATGTTTCTCCCTCGAGATCTCTCAGAATTTTACTGTTTAACAAGTCTGCCGAACGGAGTCTAGGTCTCGTTCGTAATACGAGGAGGATGGAACGAAGTTCGAGAGTAATTACATAAACGAAATTTAGTTCGCCAAGTCAATCTATAAATCTTCGCGGGGTCTTCAAACAGGCGAGGCAAAGTTTGGCAAGCTTAATGCCTCCTAGCTGGAAAAGTAGTCTCGAAGTTTTCGCCGAGGAGAAGATTGAGTGGCAGACCTCGTTATTGCTTTGTCCACAGAAGCCGCGTCTGTTTGGACCAATCGAAGATTCCCCAACTAGTTTCGAACAGCAATAAAATTACCTATCCGCTGCAAGTGCGCTGAATCGATCGTAAAGCAACGTGACAAAATTTGAAAGCGTACGGAACGTCAAAATATTACACGATCTACGCGCGAGAGCGATTCCAATTTGTTACTTTTGGACGATATTGTACAGGATCGAGCGAGAGAAGTTCGTACTCGGTACGAGAACAATAATAGAATCGATGACCGTAATATTCCTGGGGCCAGAAGGGTCCCCTGGAGGAACACCGAACATCGTCGAATTGTTAATTAAGCGTCCACTCGATGCTCTCGAAATCACGAGTGAGAAAACGTGACCGAATCGATCTTCATTATCCGCCCGATCCACTCCCATGGCCAAAGAACTATTGTCTCGTCAGCTCGCTCGTTATCCCCTTTCCCAAAGAAACGAAACGCGAAGGATAATGATCCTCGACGCTGAAACGAGTCTGCAACTCGCGATCCCTTTCTCTGGATTACTTTGTCTCGTTGAATGCAACCGCTGATTGTCTTGCCGCGGCGCGACCACGCAACCGTAGACGGGAAACATTTTTTTGTTCGAACAATAGTTAACAAACAATCTATTCGCGGTCTACTCGTGGCGTTCGTCGGATTAAATTTTATTCGTTGAAATTAGAATTTTCTCTGTATATACGAATAGCTTCCGTAGCGGCCATTGAAAATTCGCGGATCAATGGGCGACTGAAAATATCTGACTTTCCATTGGGTCTCTAAACGTGTTTGTAAATGTACGGTTTCCACTGTTACGTAACAGTACGCTTCGTTGATGCGTATCTCGTTTCAAATCACACATTGCACGCTATGAATTAACGACACGCGCGCGCAGGTAATTGAATTTAGCGGATTGCGAATTAAATCGTTACAATTTATGTGAAAATCGTACAATGAAAACATGTAAAAAATAACCGTTTCCGGCGAATCGAAGATGACAACTGATACGTTCATCGAACAGGGTACAGTAAAGAGGAAATTCGAGAATCAGAAATCTTTTTATTACTTATAAAGTAATCGTTTGATACATCCTTCTAATCAGAAGTTACTCGTACAAGTTACATAGACTCAGAAAATAGCGAGAAGTAATTGGAGAAGTCATTGCAATTACACGGTCGTTCCTGCGTTAACGTTGGTTCGGATCCCTGTCTGTTACCAAATACTTGCATTTGGCAAGGTTCTCTAATAAAACTGGCCGGAACAACTCCATTCAAACTCCAACACGCTCGCACGCAAATCATCGAACGTTCACCGCCTCGGGAATTAACGATTACAACTGCAATTATAATAAATTCGGGAACTAAACGTGCACGGGCGCTGTTCCTTCGAAAATAATAATTACGTTCAACCTCGTTCACGAAGCAGAATAAATAACGAAATAATTATTCATCCAAAGCGATTAAACTCGACATTCTGTCGAGGATGTCGTAAAATATTTACGACAAGCAATTTTGATATAATATCGTAGAGGTATCGATTGGATACCTCCTTGTTTACATTGTGGCATAATCGCGCGCCTGTAATTGACGCTTCGCGAAGAAAATGTTAAAAATAATACTTCCAGGAGGATATTATCGAAGCAAAAGCACGATCTAAGCTTTCCTGACTGAGTTAACGTACTTCAAACGTGAAAATATAAAAAATTATTAATATCGACGGGTACTTCCAAACCGTCGAGCAAGCGGACGCGATCCTTAAAGAGATCCAGAAGAGAATTAAAATAACGCGAGCGTGTTTGGGCTCGAATAATTTGTTCGTGACAAAGCATGCACCGTGGTTGTTTTAGGAATCGAATCCCGTCATACGAATCCGAATGAACCTTCGGCGAAATCGATCCCAACAGCTCTTCTGGGCCAAACAATTATCGCAGGCCAAGTGCCTGTATTTGGCGAACGCAGAATAGAACAGACCCAACTTTCGCGACAACGAAATACGAACGGAATAAGCTCGGCTCGTTACCGAGGGTAAAATCGAAGTATTCAGGTCGCCGTTCACAATACGCACCGAGCGACAACAGTGGTCCTTTTGTTTCCCGCTCTGCCGCAGTCAAAACAGACCGCCTGCAGTCTAAATTAGCGCCGCGCAACGAACCAACCGGCTAGAATCGTTCAGGGAATCAATTGAACATTCCGTACGTTTAACAAATTAAACGTTTCGCTGGTCGGACTTAATCGACGCCCCGTAACCCGGTTTATCCGACACTTTACAACGCGAGAATCTTTCGTACGATACCCGTACGTTGTTCGAGTCACTAAACAGAGTCCATCGGTGAGGGGAAAAATAATAAACAATATGAAAATCGATGCGGGGGTGTTGCGCCAACCATTGTAAAATTGAACCAGAGTCGGTTGATTTTTGTTTTATTTTATTTGGGTCTTCTTTCCAGTTGTACTATTTATTAGGTAACGTTTTCTTTTTGAAACGTAGAATGCGAGTAAAGAAAGTCATCGAATGAAATTGAAGAGTACACAGGACAATGGGTATATTATTTTAACGCGTGTTACGAAAAGTAGCACGATTCCATTTGCCTCGAGGAGAACAGTACTTACGTTTCAGTTTGTGAAACAAAGAAACGCGATTCATAATTTCTTACGAAAATTAGTATATTACATTTTGTTCTAATCCATGTTCGAGCAATGCAAAGCGTATAGAATTAAATTTACGTTTACATCAAGACACAAGTTACTAAAATATAATGCGCAAACACTCGTGAAGTGATCTAATACGTATGAAAACAATGTATCTATGGATCGATGGAGACTAATGAAAGAGCACACAGTTACGTATGCTAAATTACTTCAAGGTTGGGTAACTTCAGTGTTATTCGTGGTCGTATACTGTATACAAATTATTCAAGCAAGTTATACAGCGGAACTTTGATTATCTAAACATTGTTTAACCGTATCTATGATTATTCGAATAGACGTGAATATTAACCCATTGAGACGGTTTTATTGAGAGCTTCGCGAACTATGAAAATTACGATGAGCTGGTCGAATAATAATACCGGGACAAAAACCGAGAAATCACTGAGAGGTTATGGAGAAGTAGTGGGCGATTCAAAGATGATAAAGAAGGAGAATATCGGAGCAAAAATAACATCCTATTTCGTTTGGTAGCATTCGCTGCATCGAGATCTGTCTTGAGATGGTACGAAGCACAGAGAGAAAGTAATCCCATCGGAATCAGAACGCTATGAAAAATATACAAACTGTCGGTTGAGAAAGATCGGAGCAGCAGAGTAGAATCCAAAGAAAACAATCCAAACTTCGTTAATAATGTATACTAACGCGAACATCAAAAATATTTGTCTTTGCAATAAAACGTCATTTTTCAGATAATCTGCACCTGTCCATCGACTGCTTTAAAATTAACGATAAAATTGCACAATTTGTTATACGTTTGGACGAATATTCGCAGCGGCAAAGCAATGGCTCCTAGAGCAAGCAGATATTATACCATCGATAAAAGAAACAGTATTTTTATAAATCTAAAAATTTAAAGTTACATGCTTCTCGAAGTTATGGAAAGTATTAAAAATTCTCGCGCGACAGCCATTGCTTCGGTGCTCGAGGCTAAATGATATTTCCATGGGGAACGTATTCCTAAAACGGGGAATGAATTTCGTGGCCCGTTCTAGCGACGTAACGACCAACGGTGGAACGTTTTCGCGTTCACGGTTCACCGGTTACGGGGCGAAACGTCTCCATGAACGATTTCCGTGCTCGGCGGTCGAAGTGCCAACAGATTACGGACGCCCCAACGCTTCAACAAAACAATTCGACGCGAGAACTAGGCGAAACTGCGGTGCCACTGTCGTCGACGAGGCGTTCCTGAACGCGGGACCGGAAACAATGCTGGTCGCGCGAAGTACCAGGCGCCACAAAGAATGCCCCCGAATTGCATTCGCGATGAGAAAGTCAGATTTCAAATTTTAATGGTTTTCAAAAATTCTGATCGTCCAGGGACATTCTCTACGGGGTCTCCAGTACACAGTACTACCTCCCTTCTTGCAATGAAATAGGGTCTCTCGGATTTCGTGTGGAGAGGTTTCCTCGTTAACGGGGGAACTGTACACCCCAGCCACGAAAACGAGCAAAATTAGTGGTTTAATCGCGCGTAGGCAACCACGAGACTCAATGTGACTTGTTTATTTAGGTACTAGACACGGTCGTTGCAATTTTAGCTTGTACCATTACCTAAATTTAACGTTCCTTCAGCGTGACAGAGTCTCTTAGCCCGTGTCTGGTTTAAGAATTATTTTACGATAAATAACAAAATGCTAATTTAAAGAATACAATGTGTTTCTGCTCGAATCGAGCGAAGCGGTAATGGCGCGTATCGATGCAAGAAGGGAGACAGTGCCGGTGATCGATCGTCAGCGTGGATTTCGCCGTCGAAAACGTAGAGGAAGTAAATAATCGCGCGGACAGACGAGAAATGGCGGCGACGC